AAATATACGAAAAATTCAAATAAGTTAAAATATATGTAATTTAAAAAAAAAAAATTCAAAATGGACAAGCACATCGTACATGCCAACCTGTATAATTTACCCATACTTTGTATGGTTTTCATACGTTTGCAGAGTTGTATGGCCATACAGGCTTTTGTATGGTTTTTCAATGGATTTTGAAAAGAAATATTTTTGCACAAAACTTCCTGAGCAATAAATTATCCGTTCTACAACAGGAGGCCTTAATCACTTTTGCCTGTTCAAAAGGACCACTTTGAGGATTGGTAGGTCATCTAAATTTAGAAAATGGGCATGGTTTCATTGATATCATTCGTTAATACTAAGACATTGAAGTATGGTAGGAACTACTTTTAGTGGTTAACCATAATTAAACATTCTTAAAAAGAACTGCTGTGTTAGTAGTAAATGACTTTTATTTTCCATTAAATAAATTTAATATTACTGTCAATTACAGCATTAGTCATTATTCCTATTTATAGACCATGGCATGGCTTAATTTAAAGTGCGATCGCTTTCTAAAACTAAAAGGACACATTTATAGGGGAACATCAGTGAATAGTGCGTGGTATATTATGATCTTTTTTTTAATTATTAATTTACTCCAGCTGGAAACTTTGAATTAATATTTTATATCCACATAGAGCATAGAGTTGTTTTTTTTAAATTCATTAAAACATGAGAAAATATTACACACCAAATTCATTTGCTGTATTTTTAACAATCTCATTTAGCGCAGTTATTGGGAGTTTTTTTTATAGTGAAATCAGCACCATCTGGTAGCATTAGTGACATTGTTACATATAGAATTATGTTTCTGAATGATATTATCATGCTAAAATGTGTGAGCTGGGTTGGGAAGATAATTAATTTTTTTTATCCATGCATTCAAAACAGATAAAGATGATAACAAATGTATACCTTTAACTTTCTCCGACTTCAATTTTTTTTTTCTAAACTTTTTTTCATGCTGTTGTACGGTTGTTTTTAAAAACTTTTTGTACAGTTTTTTTATCACAGAGGTTGGCATGTATGGTTCACATAACAAGGTAAATGGTTGAGTGGTTAGCTATTGTAGCACAGCAATAGAATTTTGCATAAACTGAGAACAAGAATGTTAATTCATCAAGGATATAAGAGATAAAAGTTATGTGGATGTCAGGAAACACACATAGATAATTGGGTGCACTAAAATATCTGGGAGATGTTGTGAGCATTCACAGTTACTGGATTAAGTTAGTGCTGCTGTTTATCTTACCTATCACCAGATGGTTTTATACTGAAATGAAAAATGCATTGTCACAAAAGCATCAAAAGTGCAACAGCACGTATGCATGCACAGTCAACAGGACATGTTTTGTGTTAAGATAAATGACACATTGGTACCTTAGGATATTTGACAAGGATTGATGGTGCCTTTGGTGTGTAAAGAGATGTCAAGTTTGATATGTAAAAATTGAAAAATCCAGGTTTGGTGTTTGAAGACAGGGGGGAAGTTGGATATGTTAATATAACACATGATTGATGTGTAAAGATAAGAAGAAAGTTTAGTTTGCAAAGTCAGAAGACATGTTTGTTATATAAAGACAGACCACATATTTGTTAAGACAGCATTACATATCTGGTTCAAAAACATACCAGCAGAAGAGTTAAAAACAAAATTCAAATTGTGACTTTTTTCTTACCTGGTCTGTCCATCATTTCTCACAGCTTCCTCTACTTGCTTCTCTTTACTTATCAATGCATCTAGCATGCTCTGCCTGCGTTCAACTTCTCGCTGTGTTCTTGTGGAATCAGTTAAGTAATATTATTTCTAAAAATTACTTCTGGATACAAACATCTCAATAATACATGAATTTGTCTAATAATGGCCCAATGATGGGATAGTTAAACTTGCCAGCAAACATTTTAAATAGTTGTAGTTAAGTTAAATAGTTCAGTGTGGACAATTTTAGTAACATGAAAAATATAAAATGGTCCCATCAAGGGGAGACGTTAGAGAAGATTTCCAAAAGCACACAAGCAGTACTTTCTTTGGTGCCCCGTGGATTAGGGCAGGTTAATGATTCTAGAGTGTTCTCCCAGGAAACCCTTTTAAAGAAGGGTGGGGTGGGGGGTTCATCATTTTACAGCAAACTTAGAATCATTGAGCTACTAATAATGTAACAGCTCAAAAGGATACATGTGATATGATGATGACGCTCTCAGCAAACCTTGCTTCAATCTGCTTATGTCAGAGCCCAATTGTCGACTCTTAGAACGAATCTGAGCTGACAGCTTGTGAAAAAAATACATAAGAAGAATTAAGTACTAATATACTGAACATTTTTGTTTACTGCTTTAAAATGTAAAGATGTGTCATACTGACTTGTCTTTATTCTTTTCACATAAGAAATAAATTAATGATGTCAATTAAATGTTAAAAAACTCTATACAAATTCTAGGCCTAATGATGGTTCAAACAATTATGAGGCAGCCATCTTAGCAGCATAAAACATTGGAGAACAAAAAATAAATGTATAAAAAATAAATGAATTACAACCAAGAACATTATAAGTGTTACTTGTCCCTGTTATAAGTTTACCTTAGTGAAAGCTGAACTGGTCCGAGCATGTTTGTTTCTTTCATTGACATGTTCCATAAGCTCTTGACCCAATCGAGAACAGGCATCATAGTCATTTAACCTGGACAGATTTCAACAGTTGGTTTATGTTTAGACATTTTATTTTATATTTTATCTATTAAAGAAAAACAGGTGTTTTTTTTCAGAAATACACTTTTTTTCCCCCCATCATTTTAACTGTTGTTTTCACTCAGGAAGAAATGGAAGCACTTCCTTTTTACGAGCAGCTTATTAAAGACATAAACAAAATTAAAATTTATAATAATAATAATATTAAAATAGAATACATTATTTAATATGTTTTCTTTTGAAACCATATATGTATATATATATATAATGACATATTTAGAAACAGTGAATACCAAAGTAAAGAAAAGCAAGCATGTGTTAAATGTGTAATGTTGGAAATAGTGCAAAGTAATTAGCGGAGGAACTACTCTGTAGTGCCACCTACGGCTGGGCTATATTTTTGCAGCCCACTTTCCATCAAAAAAATAATAATACTGCAGTCTTCAACTCCTCCCAAGCCACTGCTCCTCTACATACCTAAGGTATGGGATTAAGTCAAATAAGCAGACATTATTGAAATGGACTTTTGTCCGCTTGACCTGATAGGTTCTCAAAAAAATTTACAGAAGACTTTAGTCTTAATCTTAATTCCATTCCTCTTCTAATAATGTGTAACAGATTGGGCAATAATTTTCAAGTCTCTGCCTTCAAACTCATTATCTTCAATATCTAGTTTATGTCCAATATAGTTTAATTAGGCCTATTAAGTATAAAGGCTCTTTTAATCATAGCTATTATTAATAATATTAATAATAATAATAATAATAATAATAATAATAAAGTTTATTTGAAAAACATGCTTCATCCCCAAAAGCTCGAAGCGCGGTACAAAGTCAACCATATTAAAAAGAGAAATAAAAACAATCTAAAATTTACCACATTTAAAAACAGACACAACAATATAAAGCTACATACGAGCATACCCAGTCAAAGTCTTTCATCCCGTTTCAACCATAAGCAACACAAGCCAATATACATTAACTGAAAAAGATGGTAGATAGCATCACCCCAGAAGGTGTTTGCGAAATAGATGTGTTTTTAAATCGGTTTTAAAGGACTCCAGTGTCTGGCTGTTTCTGAGAGCGACTTAGCATGCCTCAAGGCTTCAACATGAGTAGTAGCTGTCTAAAGTTTGGGAGAGTTGTTCAAATTGTCAGCCTAATTGTTCCAATGGCAAGATTTAGTCAAGATGAATAGAAATAGACCATGATCCAGTAGATGACCAGCAGTGTTTCTTGTGTCTCACGTTGCATGAGTTGTCACAATTATCATTGTATCCATGTCATCACCTACGGGGATCAATTTCCGGGTTTGCCTTCTCTTAGTCGCCGTCCAAGGTTAATGAGTTCCAACCACCCTGGTGGTGTTTTTGCTTGTCTGGGCTTTTACTGGGGATTGAACTCTAGTCCACAAGCTTGAGATTGACTTAGTTTAGACCACTCAGCCAGGCTATATATATAGGCATTACAGACCTAAGCCTACACTTACACTAAATAATAAAGGTGTCAGTGTCATTACTGTCATAAATACTACAGAATGACAATACTAATAATATTGACAATACTAATACTAATACTATTTCCTATTATTAATATTAATATAATAATATGTTAAAACTTAATTTGAATTGAGTTTGATTAAGTAAGACAAATCAGGTGACTGATGAACTGGGTGGTAGTAGTAGTAGTAATAGTGTGTAGTGTAGCTTTTTAAAAATTATTTTATTTTTAATTTTAATTTACGTTAGTGTTTGTATTAAGTCTTAGTCTTAAGTCTTATTTTGTAACTAACTTAGTCTTGGAGTGGGAGTGGGACTTGGAGACTTAGAATAGACACTTTGGTTGACTTAGTGAAAGTAACTTGGTAACTTAATTAGTCTTTAACTTAAGACTTACTAAGACTAAGCCTAGGCCTACTAAGCTTAGTTAAGTTTAATTTAGGTTAGTTTAATTATAGTATAGATTATAAATTATAGTAGAGTAATCAGTAATCAAGTAATCAGTAATAGAGCCTGCTGCTGTAACCAAGTGTTTGTTGTCAGTGTATTACAGCTTAGTTTTATTAATTACACTTTAGTACAGGTTTATTTCAGGCCATTTTCAAACAAAATAAATGTGATAAAGTTAATATGAATAATAACACGAATTAAGTTGTTATGTTCAATTGAAAAAATTCTCTTACCAAGAATCACCTGCCATTTTTGTAAATACGGATATGAAATGATTTTTCACGAGACCTTGTGACCTTTAACCTCTCGACACCAACAGTTGGCCTAAATCCATATTTATTATACACCACTGTGTTTTCTTTTCGACTTATAGAGGTGTAGAGGTATGTGTCCCTCTTCAGATGCGTTTATCACCAAAAAAGGTGGTAAAATATACCATCTTTCTTCTCTTCTTCATGGTTCTGAACGTTTGGATTAGTTACAGTGTGAATATTTGGAGTTTTAACAACTTTGACGACCGTGAGAAAGTTTTACAAAGTTTTCGAGAGCGACGCGAGGACAATGGCGGAGCGCTACCAGTTCCACCCGTTATTTTTGTTAAGAATGATTATGAACTTGAGGGTGTCGGTAATAAACCAAATATCGAGGAATCAGACTTCTTTCGAAAACAAAGAAGTGCAAAGGAATTCCCATTAAATTCTGATACCAATGACTTACGACAAAATCAACTATTTATAAAAGAAAAAAAAGTTGTTGCACAAATTGGTAAGAAAATTGACGCCAACTTGTTGCTCCATGAAGGGAGTAATAAAAGTTCTTTACCAGAGGTAGGCACGAGTAATATTCAGAGTAATGGCCATAACCGGGTGTCCTTGCCTATACTGAAGCCGAAAAAGATTCAACAGACTGAGTTAAGCGATGTATTCATCAGTGTGAAGACTACCTCCAAGTATCATACTTTGAGGGTGAACCTCCTTTTGAAAACCTGGTATCTTCTTGCCAGGGAACAAGTAAGTAAAGTCAGAAGTCAGTAGAAACAGTGTTGTTGTTTTTTTTCTTCTTACTTTTAAGTTTGGCAGACCAGTGGTCAAGATTTCCATAAGTGGACAAGTTCCCCATCACATCAGGGATGGGTGCCAGATTTATTGATTAGTTTCACTTGCTTGGAGAAATAATAATAATTTTATTAAAACTCAGAATAAATTTTTATTAGAACTGACTCAAATGCGTATCAATTAAAATAATTACAAATCTTTCTGTTGGGAGATAAAATAATAGGCAGAGAATTTTAGAGCCCAAATGAACTTGTTTTAAACTTTAAGATTATTTGTAACATTATTTTATTAGTTAGTAAGATATATAAATAATTTATTAGTTTGTCCAATGTTAACTGTAAATTGTATTTTGTATTGAGTTCTTTCATTTTCAAATCCTATTTTGTTCACAATTTCGACGTTACTTACCATAGTCTTAAGTCTAAGAATAACGGAAGTCAAACTTTACGTGTCTAGCAAGGTTATGTTTTCTTATGCTGTTAATTCCTAATATATATTGAACATTTCCAGAAAAGATCCTTTTGGTTAAAAAAAAAAGGGGGGGGGGGGGGGGGGTTCGGTAACTATGCAGACATCTTTAAAATGTCACCAAGCCTGCTTCCAAGCACAGAACTAAAGACAGTCCAATGAAAAACAAATGTGCGGAAGACCTCAAGAGATCTGGCTAAATATCAATGTAGAATAATTTTACTTAGGAATAGAAACTTTCTTCTTCTTTTATTTGAGGGCCCATGAGCAATTTATTGATCATTCTGGCTACTGGTTTGAATTCTGAGCTTGCCTTCTCTTAGATGAGTTGCTGTCCAAGGCTTACGAGTTCCATTCACCCGGGTTACTTGAGATGTTAATGTTGGCTTTGGTGGGGGATTGAACTCCAGACCACCAGCTATTTGGTTTTAAGTCAGTTTACACCGCTCGGCCACCCAGCACTCTTGTACAACAAGACAGCAACAACAGAAGTAGCTGATAGACAGTAGTGACATTCTTTGGCTGTAGACAGTAAGGACATTCCTCAGCTGTCACCTCATGTATCAAGCTGTGAATGTGGACTGTATGAATAAATGAATCTACATCGCACAAAAATCTCAGATTGCAATTCACTTTTTAAATCTTTTAACTTTCTACTCATTAACATATGTTTTAGTTAATGTATATTGCCAAAGTCAATGTGGGGAAATATGTTCTGCTGGCTGTTTGTTGACTTTAACCTAACTAAATCTTGTTTTCAAATGACCCAATGTACTCACATGATATACACATACTATGATAATATAAAACAACTGGAGACATTTTGGTAAACTCAGTTTCAATTCATTTAAGTGAGTTGGGTCATTGAAATTGTCTCTCCTCGATCAGTGCACATGGCATTTTACATTTTGATGGTCAGCAACCATGTTATTAAAACATTGCTTGACTTTGATATGTTGAATTTTAATTTCTTTTATTGTGCAGATTTTAAAGTGCACATTGTTTTTCAATGACTTTTGTTAAATTATTAATTGCTTCTAGTTTTATCTATCACTCCACCTATCTTTGAGCCAATCTTTGAAGACGCCTACCAGGGGGCTGTTAAAATTTATATTTCACCTCTTGAAAAATATTTTTGCCTGTTGCTATAAGTTTTTCTCTCTAAAAGTAAATGCTTTACCTTAGTACAACATTTGACTGAAGATTAATAGATAATAAGATCTGAGTTACCTGTCTTGTCTCACTTTACCCCAAGAAAGTAGTTGATTAAAGCTTCACTTTTACTTTAATATGTTTCAAAAAAATTAAAAAAAACAATACTCTAGATATTTACACCATCGTAAAACCTGTTTTACTATAAGGTGAAAGGCCTTTTGAAACATTGCAACAAACATGAAGAAAATACAGGCAAGCTAATATTACATGACATGTTCAAAAATAAGTTTAAAATCCACCATTGGTGAAGTTAGAAAATTTGAATGCAAGTTAGATATATTGATGTGGTTTTTAATTGATTTGGTAGGTAGCAACAGACAGTTAAAACCACTTCTGAATATATATTTTTTTAAAACCTGAAAAAAAATTCAGTGTTGAACACTTATAACTAAAATTTAAAATTGCAACTTTGTATTACATATGACATTACAGGAAACATCTTATTTTTCTTCAGGTTTACTTCTTTACAGATTCAAATGAGCAGGAATTGATTGTCAATTTAGGTAAAAGATGTTTTAATTAATTTGTAAAATTTACCTTTTTTAAATCCTTTATATTAACTTCGCTTTTGATGGTGTATTTGTTTGAGGCAAAATCTTCTGATGGCTAATTGGCCCACTTCCCACCATCCTATTGAGGCTGAAACTGGCACATAGACTTGTTGCTGATGACAACACATTCTTTCAAATTTTCAGCCCCCAACTCCTCAAAAATTAGTTTTAACACTACCAGATGCCAATGATTTCACTAAATAAAATTCCCTATAGCTGCACTATACGAGGTTCTTAAAAATATCGCAAGTGCGTTTGGTGCGTAATATTTTCATTTGTTTTACAGAAATAATTAGTGTAATAAATCTGTGTTGTAAAAGTGATTAGGACATTAGAACATTAATTTTGTTAAAAGTTTACAAACATATAGTCCATTCAACTATCTTTCATTGGATACCTCATTTTGTCTTACAAACCAAACAATAATATTTTAAATAGTTATTTAATCCCAACCTCTCACTTCTGGTACCCGGGTATGAATAGTCGCAGCCTTTTAAAATTCTATTTTAAATGGGAGAATTTGTTAGTGATTTACACATGATAAAACCTTACACTAGCCCCACTTGTCTATCATTAATGCCACCAGGTTGCAATTTTTAAGGGAGATCACTGCCTTGACATTTATTGTTTAAAAATGATATTATGCTCTTATCAAGTGATGCGTTGCTCAACCGCAATTGTTGTCCTGATTTTAAACTCAATAAAATTATTTTTTGAAAATGATAATTTGTTACCTTGGTTGCTGGTTTTTTTTATTTGTGCAGGTGGACACCTAGTAAATACGAACTGTTCAAGTGATCACAGCAGGTAGATTTTAAAACTTCAAATAAATCTCTGCATCACTTTCTTGTAGGCTTAAAGCCAAAGGAACTCAGAAGTTCTTTCTTTTCATAATATATTTTTTAAAAATCATGTCTTTGGTGTTGAAATTGATAGTCATGTTACACACAAAAATCAAATGATTTGCGTCTTCAATATAAAAAATGTGATACATTTTAATAATATTATAACTAAACATCCTGTGAGGTAGATTTTATAAACTGTAATTTTATTTTGTTATTTTACATAATTTTAGGTATTAAGATCATCTGAGAAAGTTTTTAGTGTTATAAAACAGCTACTTTGGGTGTAAAATTCTCTTTAAAATGATTTATTTTTTGGCTGGGGATATTATTTTGCTAATCAATTTCCAAGGTTTTTTAAGTATTAATTATAATTCAGATAAGAAACTATTTATTATTTTTTTTTTTTGAGGTTTTTTTTTTACTCATTTACTTAATGTTTGTTTGTTAACATGTCCTGTTATTGTGTTAAGCATCATACTAATAAAATAGTAACATGTGTCATTTTGTGTAGGCGTGCACTGAGCTGCAAGATGGCTGTTGAGTTTGATTATTATATGACATCAAGAAAAAGGCAAGCTTTTCTTTTTGTTTGGACATGTTTGTTTTTTTTTTAAATAAAAATAATTGATTTTTATTTATTCAAAATTTATATGTTGGCATTTATTCTATTCATATTTTAAGATCTTTTTTTTTTTTAAATTTTTGAGCTAAAATAAAATTTAGTGATACTCTTTGAAACATGTTATTAATATCAATGATTGAATTTACTGCTGGCTCTGTTCATATCCCAGTTATTTTTGCATCAACAGATGGTTTTGTCACATGGATGATGATGTCTATCTCAATGTCCCACGTCTTGTAGAAGTTTTGAGAGGCTACAATTACAAGGAAGATTGGTACCTGGGAAAACCTAGTTTAAAACACCCGCTTGAGGTGGTTGACAGAGATAATCCTGGAGTAAGTAATTTTTTGGAGGTAGTTGACAGAAAGACCTAGAATGGGCTGTTAATTTATTTATTATTTTTAGATTGGTACATGTTGATTGATAATCATATTATTTTGACCAAACTTTTTTTTTTAAATTGTTTTCTTTTGTAATTTTTATGTGTTTTAGTTAGACATGAATGATAGTGTTGAAATTTAGAAATATCTTTCTAATACAGAAGTAATACAAACAATTTATTTTTATGTTTTATTTGTAGTTTTATTCATTTTTCTTGATAGATGAAACTGACCTTTTGGTTTGCTACAGGAGGTGCAGGCTTTTGTATAAGTCGATCTTTGGCATTGAAAATGGCACCTTATGCAGGGTGGGTGTTTTGCCGTATGGATCATGAAAGCTGTTTATCTTGAAATACTGTAATAACATAAGAGATCATATTTAGGATAGTGGTGGAAGTGATAGCCTTCAAGTTAACTCAGCATGTATTGAAAATTAATTTTTTATTATAGTAACATCTTGCAATCGCAGAACAGAAAATACACACAAACTCAACCTCAGATCCCTAAAAGAAATTTAAATGATGAATTTTTATTTTAAATCCTAACATATTTCCCTTACTTGACAAAGAGATGCTTTTAAAAACAAACCATTTTAAAAAAAGATTGCAATTAAAATCTCATCACATTTTATTATTCCATATAATTTTTATTCTTTTAAAATCCTATAGTGGTGGTAGATTTGTAACAACTGCAGAGAAAGTAAGACTACCTGATGATTGCACTATTGGATATATAATTGGTGAGAAGACATTATTTTTTTAAAGTCAGCATGCTTTACAATTATTTACAGCATTTTCAGTTATATTATTTCATGCTCATGTTTGGCAACATATCCAAGATACTAAGTATTAGATATGTGTTGCAAAATTAAGAAAACAGCTGCCTATGAAGTTGAAATGATTTATGAAGTCAAATTTTGTTTAATGTACAGAACACTTGTTGAAACACAAGCTGACTGTGATTGAAGAATTCCACTCTCATCTAGAAGCTCTTTGGTTGATTAAACCCAACCAGCTGAAAAAACAGGTAAGTTGAATAAATTTAAAAAATGACATGTTAAGATCAAAATACTTTTTAAAAATTTGAGTATCACTGGATATTGTTTTTCTGCTTAACCCTTTAATCACCTCAAATTTTTAAAGTGGTAATCATTGATGTTAAATGATAGCTACTCAAATTTCCAACTATTGATTTTGAAAACAATTTTTAGTTTTTTTAAAAAGCGATAAATGAAATTTAATTATTTTAAAAATGGTCTTATGTTATTTAAAAAACAATTTATCAGCATAGGGATTAGTGGGGGCTGCGTCACAGTTAATTTTAGGAGGTTGTAGTCAAGATATTTCTCAAATGTTAATTTAACTTTTAAATTTAAAATAATTTAAAAAAACTGTTCCTTCATAGAAGATCTTTATTGTTTCTCTCAAATGATGTGTTACCTCTTGACAGATAACCCTCAGCTTCTCTGAATACTCTGGTAAACAGAATGTCATCAACATTCAAGGATTCAATGACACAGAGGATCCAACAAGGTTAGTCATGACTTAAAGGAGACAGACAATAAATATTTTAAAAATCGAATTTTCAATTAATTTGACCAGCTTGTGTTAGTTTATGTCAGAATTTTAAAATGTTTTTGGATCCTTAAGTCAAATAAATTTTGGTTTCATAATTTATTATTAAGATTACCTTTAAAATACTTTATGGTGGTATTTATTTACTAGTCTTTACTCTATTCAAAGATTAGGTTGTAATTTTAGATAATTCTTATGTCTCAAGTAGTCTTTGCCAGTTTTGTATCTCATTGAACCTCTGTTTACCTTTTGTCCACAGATTACTCTCCCTTCACTGCTTTCTATTTCCAAACTTTAATGAATGTAGACACCTAACATAAAAATAGTGTGACCTTTGATCAATACTGTTTCATTTACTAAAGAGTAGCTATAAAAAGAAAAATGTGTTAACCTGGGGAAATCTTAGGATTTAAAATAAAAAAAATAAAAATATAAGTGTCTGCATAATGTATTAAAATTAATTTTTTTCTTCTTCTCTATGTTAACCCTTATCATGATTACTGTGATACTCATCAGTGTTATATTCTTTTCTAAAATAGTTGATACTTTAGCCCTTAGTGTCAGACTTAATGTGATTAATACACCTTATCAGAATTAAGTGCATGTTTTAAATTAGTTTGTCTGTTGACAATCTACCTCCATAATAAACTTTAAGCAAAGCAGAGCTGAAATATGTCATTTTCAAAGAGTGGAGTTTGTGCTGCCTCTGCTCTACAGTTAAAATACTCAACCAGTGCCTCTATCCAACTTGTTATTATGTACTTTCAAATTCCAAAATATCACATTATTAGGTATGGACTGATAGTTGAATGTTGGTGCAGGAGATTCTATGTTTTGATAACATTCCATTACAAAGCATTGACTTTTTAAGTGACTGCAACATTATTTGTACTTGTTGCAGACATTGATTTGTTTAAAGTATTTCTATTGCTCATCATAGGAGGGACCAATTTTAAAAAAAGAAATTTTACACTTTTAGTATAGTTCATTATACTGCCTTTGTATAAATTTCTTTGGTTTTTTATTTCATTTTGTGTGTGTTTTTCTTTATATTTCCATTTGCACATATTTTACTGCATACTCTTGATTTTTTTAATCAATTAAATTTACAATTACCGACCAATCAAAAACCCACAAGACCTATCAACATGGCTTACGACTGAGCAATCAAAAATTGTTTAAAGTTTTTTGTGAGTGAAAATGTATAGAATTGCATAATTATAGGTGAGATTATTCCCTCTATTTCAGTTATATACTTTGTGCTAAACCAAATGTATGGATTAATGGGTGGAGTGTTTCAATTGTGCTAAATGTCTAAATATTTATATAGGAATAGAGTGTTGAACTTATACAACATATGTGAATGGATCAAAGGTGAACTTGTAGGAGAAGTATTTAGAAATCCACGAGTTTAAAATTTTCATTTGAGAATATTCAGTATCTACACACAAAGTAAAACAACTCTATTAACTTGTTATTATGTAGCAACTTAATCAAGTGTCATGGTAACCAGTTCTATAATTTGTTTTCATGTGCATTCACATATTTCTGCTGACAATGGCTGCATTTTGTATCTGAATTTTAAATTTGATTTAAGAATGTTGATTTTGTAAAATAACTATTTGAGAGAAGTACCACTAGCAAAGTTCTTGTTGTCATTTTCTTCCAATTATAAAACAGCTGTCATTGATTTTCTGCATGCTGTACCACTAGTCTTTCACAAGAATTGTATCAATAAATCTTTACTGAATGTTTGGTTCTAACATGATTCAAAGATTTACTTATGATTACAGCTTTGTTTATACATACTGCATCACAATTTATGTAGGTTTTTCCTGTTGAAGCATTTTTTTCTAAATGTCATTTTTCAGTTTTTCTTAAATTTTTATATGTTAAAGATCTGGAACAATTTTTTACTTAACACTTTATATCCACATTGCGAACAGAGATAAAAAAAAAATATAATATTCTATCTGAAACCCCCCATAGCTATAAAAAAATTCCTCATCTGTGTTCATTTCTAACAACATTGCTTTTGATGGGTGTAAAAAAAACTCCTAATTTGACGAAGGTCTGACTTTAAATAACCTATTTCATTTAAAAGTTGTGATCTACCCAATTATGAATCAATTGAATATGCCAGGATGTGCACAGCGAAAGGGAGATCATTCATTCATTTTTCTTGTTGCCATGTTAAATGAATGTCATTGGAATAACAGGATAAAGTGTTAAAATTTGAAGAATGACCAAACTCTAATATAACATACCTCTTTTGGTGATGGTTTTTTACAAATGTATCCAGCAGACTTTGCCAGCCACACAGTTTTCTGTCTTTAATTAAACTGTAACAAATTTAATAGTAAAAAAAAAATGTTAATCTGTTTTCTCATTTGGACTTCTGGAATGTATTGTGTATGTAAATTAATGAGATAAACTTAAGAAATGTATTGTGTATATAAGTTAATGAGATAAACATGATAAAGAGTTAATGGTCTAGTTTTAATTACAATTCAAGAATAAAATTTTCCACCATAAATGGCTAAATAATTCAATTAACATGATGAATTTGTCACTAAAGATTGTCCAATATTCGCAATTTTATATGAATAAAAATGCAGAGTCACATCTTTACTTTACATGTTACAAGTGCAAGCATTACTGGAATCAATAGTTGGTTCATTCTGTGATATATATTAGTATTAGCAATTGAAAGCAAGAATTATACTTTTTTTTTTTAAATGATTACTTTCTTCTCTAATTTCATCTAGTATTTTTAAGCTATTTTATACCAGAGCTTCTCTTGAGCTAAGGGGCCATCCATATAATATATAAACACTGAGGAAACAGTTTTTTTTAAAGGGTTTTGAGATATTTTTTCTGGTATGAGGTGGGATTGGTCTTGAAAAATGCATTTTCATGTATAAATTCTGATACTATTGATAGTCCTAGAATCTTCACATTTGCAAAACTGTAAAGTGCCTGCCCAAAGATGTGTTGTTTTGGTCTATTCAAACCTAATGGAAATTCCAATGCTGATGTTTTCCTTGTTTGGTTGAGAGTGAAAATATAACAATATCCTTTTCATGTTTGATGTTACTTTTTAAAAGTCCTACTCAATGCTGTTTTTAATTTTTAATATTTTTTTTGCTTAAATGATCAATTCTTCACCAAATTTGGTGCTGTTTATTTTTAAATTTTTTTTTCTAAACCTGAATTAGATATATTTCTTAAGACTTTGTTTCACTGAATGTCTTTTTTGACATATTTAACGGAGATTGAAATATAATAATATTTTGCATGAGAACTTTGGCATAAGGGCTTGTAGTTTAATGTGTATGTGGGGCAGGGAAGAGAAAGTCATAGTTTATGACAAAATTTTATGTACTTAATATATGGATAGATCTTTATTAAACCCTGATATATGTGTTTGCCTTTTAAAAGACAAGAGTCCTTTTGGATCAGCTTCCAAGTTTGAAAAATTAAAACAAATTTATGATTTTTTAAAGAATTGATCAAACCTGTTTCAGTGTTTTGTTAAGTGATTTTTGAGGAGGTACTTACTTTTATGACAGTGCTCAGTAACTGTTAAAATTATACTTCCATTAGTAAGAAGTGTTCACTCATTTTTGTTGACATGGTACTTATTTTTACAAAGCCTTTACTTTTCTTCCTAAGACTTCATGAAGTCAGCATGACAGGAAGAATTCACTGCTTTAATAAATGTAATTCTGTACTGTAGTATTAGGTCTTCCATAAAGTTTACAAAACTATTGTCCCTTTTTACCATTGTTATATTCTACAATTCATGCTAAAGAAATTTATTTTATAGTCAATGCATTTAACTTATGTTTAGAAAATTATCATTGATGCCATTGATTATGTCTAAGAAAACTGCATCTCTTGTCAAAAGGAAATGTAACATACAGAGTAGGGGAAAACCTGAAAGAACACAATTAATTTTCATGGGTTTCTCTTTTGCCCTCCTCTGTATGTTGTATTTCATATTGCTTCAACCTTAACAGCGTCCTCCCCAAATTACATCATTCTAAAGATTTGAAAGCACAGTACAAGTTTGTTCAAGTTAACGTGAAAGTGGGCTGGAGAAAATGCTATGTTGTACTTGATACTTTTACTTCCTTATTCTTTACCCTCAGATTATTGCTATTCTTTGGGTTTCTTCTTGAACTAGACACAGCTTCGTACACTATGGGCTAAGTTAATTATTTTATTTTATATTTTTCTTGTTTTGTTGATTGTTGAACACTTTTTGCCAACAAGTTGGTTGTTCTCTGCTAGATTTCTTAATTTTTCTCTCACCTTGTGTTCCTTTTTTCCATAATAATGGAAAGCTTGTCTTCCTTTTCACTGATTATAGCATCTGATATATTCTACAAACTCTGTGTATAAAAGGTTGTAAAATATGATACAGTGAACATCAAGTTTCTATCTTTTTTTGTATATATTTATGGTTGTTTATTTTAGATGCATTAGCATTTACAAGTTTATTGACTACAATGAATCTCACTATTGAATTATGGGGACCAAATGACATCTTTGAATATTATTTTAATGGCTTGTTCAGCTGTAAAGAACTGTTAATAGTCAATATGTATCAGAGACCAAGTTAATGTAATTTTTTAAATCTCATGAATCCAATGTTGCAAAAATGAGGTCAGTATTTTAATTCGTATTTTCACATTTGAGATGTACTGTAAATATATACAAAATATAACATGGAAATATTATATTGATTTTTAAAAAATTCATTGGATTTTTTTCTTTCAATATAGTGTAGGCTTAAATCATTTCCATTCAATGCTATGAACTTGGTGATTTAATAAGACACTAATTTTCATTGACTGATATTAATACTAGTTAAGTAGGCCTATATTATATAACTTAAAATGTCTAATAAGTATAACAATAAGTTGTCAATAAGTTGACAAGTTAATACAAGCTTTTGTGGTGTGCATTAAATGTAACAACATTTTTCAAGTAAGAACTTATTAATGGCATTTGTGTTGAAAAATTTATTCCAAATTAGATTACAAAATAATTTGATTGGAGGCAGCCATTGACAAGCTGATTAATCAGTTGGCATCTGTTGATCTAACATAAATCAAATCATAAATTAAAGGACAAAACTTGGTAAGTGTGAGCAAATTGATTCACTTGTCGCTCAGAAAATGTGTAACAGTATATGATCTAGTTTAGTAATGCTTTCTGCATTAGCTCCCTGTGCTAATTTCGAGGCCCATTCCCTTCCAAGAGGAACATCCTTATGGAACCTCTGGACTAGACTTTTTGTTTATGCTTAAACTTAAGTCTCTAACTTACAAGGAGTCTGTCATGAAGTGACTCTTTTTGGTAATATTTAGTTCACCTGTTATGGTATATTGATTTTATCATTAGTTGGCAATTTTTGTATGAATAGTAATTTGTCCCCTTGTTTTTTTTAAATAAAAAGATTTCATCTTTAATATTCATTATAATTATTATTAAACAGGTAGAGTACCTCAACATTAATGATTTCATTTTATTTATTTATGTTTGTGTGTTTTTTTGAAGGAGATGGGGTGGGGAAAAAGAAAAGCCAAGTCTATAGAAATAGAACTAAAAATTTACTATGTGGCAAAAAATTTGGGATGCTCCAGGTGAGGATCGAACTCACAACCTCCGCATAACTTATCCCATGGCTGGCATGGGGAAGGTACTGTCTATAAGTACGGCGCGCTAACCGATTGTGCCACTGGAGCTCCACGGAAAAGTGCGAAAATGATTCATCTAATACGTATTCCATTTATTTTCTACACTTAACTTTTACTGCTATTTTTCTTTCAATTTAAAAAAAAAAGAAACCGTGGGAGAAATTATATCAGTCGAAAAAGGCATATATTTCTATTAGAAAAACAATAAAATTTCGGAAATGAAAGGACGATGACGTTACAAAATGGCAGCCCTCTGATGTCAACAAATTTTAGATTTCCTCCTTTACTTTTAGTGGTCTACGATCATTTTACCCCTCGTTGATAGAGTAGGCCTTTAGTTTCTTATTTATTTAAGTTTCTTACTTAACAGAGTTAAATATGAATTTTAAGCCTTCATAACCCTGACTTATTTAAGTTTCTTACTTAACAAAGTAAAATATGACCCCGCCTTATTTATTTTTATTAAGAAAATCATAACTTAAATTTTACTGAACAAATACATTATACATTCTATACTATACTCAATACTGACACTGACTGAGTAATCTTACTTGATTAAATCTACTCACTACTCTGATATTTCACTGACTACCCAGACCTAGTCTAGTCATTCAGTCAGTATGTACCTCTTGTAACTTGTAGTCTAATGTAGTACTCTAATGTACTAATACTAATGACTAATGTAGTTACTGTTAAGTAGGTCTATATATTTTATAACTTACAATGTCTGTAAACTTATAAGTTAAACAACAATAAGTCATAGAATAATACAGCTAAAACTAACATTTACTGTGTGCAGTGACAATCAATATTGATATTGAATTATTTAAATAAGTGAATGGATTAGTGACCTGAAATTGCAAAATCAGAAGTCAGTTTATTTAAATTTATTCCAAGTATAATTGTGTGCTTATGTGTACGGTACAAAAGGAATTTAAAATATATGTACTTTTTAAAAAAATAATTATAATTATAAGCCTATTGGCCTTTGGATCAGTATCTTATACTTATATTATATGATTCATATGATTAAATTAGGCTACATGTAATTGTAATGTTTTGACTTTTTTACTATTTGTAGCTACCAACACTTAAATGATTACCCATCTAATCAATGATTACCCATCTAATCTAGTCAGTATTAAATTCAATTTCTTAGTCTATACACAGTTTACACACCATCGGTTCCCCACCTTTATGATTTGGAAAGACATTTTTATAATCAATTTCCTGTGTTATTGAAAGCTTTGTAAGGGAGACATGTTCTTTTGAGAATGAGGGGTAAACAGCCAGATTGACAAAGTTATTCAAATGAAAACAAAAAAGTGTAGCTCATGGCTTATAAGCAAAAAATAAGACCTGGCAAACCCAGATTCTAAATGATGCTGTTATGTACTGTTATGATTTTGGATTTAATATGTTTATAAGATTTGGCTCATAGAACAAACAATATTTAACAAAGGAGTGAGAAAAGCAGTATGCAAAGAATACGATACCAAAATTTGTAATACTATCAAAATTTAATTTAATTATACTATTAAATTTCTATAAAAATACAAATTCAAATACAGAAACAAAAACTCTGTATCAAATTACAGCACAGCAAGTGAAAAGTAACACTCCTCAAAAGATACAAATATTAATTTACACACACACATAAAGAGTACAATATTGCAATGACATAACGTTTCATATATGTTAGGAAACACAGAAAAAATCTCTCTCTCCGCTAGGAAAGCTGCCAGCCTATTTATAAGGATCAAATCAAAATGATCTGGTAAAGAACTTCTAGAAATTGCGTCGCCAAATAGCATCCTTTAGAATTTAGAACAAATAGAACGCATTCAAACGTGAACAACCTTTTTTCAATCTGGGTAGTGATGGGTAAGGAGTGAAGCAGCACATTTACTCTGTGACGTCAAAGAAAAGCAAAACAGGGGGGAGATAACTGGTGGTGGCTAAAATAGCGCTACGTTGAAGTGAAATTGGGTCAAAACATAGGCTATAATATAATAGATGCTACATAGTTTCTTACATATGTATGTTTTCATTGTGTATAAAATTAATATTTAGAATTATTGAAACTGAAATTAATAAAATGTTACTGGCATAAGAAACATCTATTTGAATTTTTTTTGTCACAGGGTGTTTTCTTCCATCATTAAAAGCTTACACAAAAACGATATTGAAAACCTGCCAGCATGAGTTGGTGGGATGCCTCTGGTATCTCTAGCCTTGCTTCACAGGCATTAAAAAATGCCCAAAAGAAAATTGATAAAGTACTTGATATTGAAGAACGTTCATCAACCCAAGCACAAAAGAAGAAAGGTTCTGAAATAAAACATAAGTATTTCGTGTGTTAAGCCATTTAGTTAAAAATAGAATTGATTGTAATGTCTAATTTATATATATATCTATATATACACACACACACACATATATATATATATATATACACACATATAGTGGAACCCCGCTATAAAGCATCCTTCCATAACGCGAATTCGGATATAAAGCGGTCGTAGCATGGCTCCCGAAATTTGAAATTCATTTACTCCTTCAGGCCTAAGTTCTTTGAAAATTTTATCCATTGCTTGGAAAGCCATTTTTTAAAGCGAAAAAAATCACAACTTTTCAAAATATCGTAGAAAATGAGCCCACTAGTATCAAAATTAATGCCAAAAACGAGTGTTACTTATTACGGATCCATGAGTAAAGCCAGTAAATCGTCTTTGTGATTGTCTTCCATGAATTATATATTGCTTATATAAAAAAATATTTTTCTGTTATGGAAAAGCAAGTTCAAAAACGCAAGTCGTTTTCTGCTAAAGAGAAACTGTATGCCCTAGATTATCTAAAGAAGGGCAAACAACAAGCTCAGCTTGCCAGAGATCTAGTTAATATTCATCTGATGATGAGCCGACTTTTGATCATTGTACATGTATACACGTATGTGTTCTCGGAAAAAAGTTAAATATTGTAAAACCGCACATTAACGCAACCCCTCTTTTAGCGTGATCCGATTTTATGGACCCCGATCATCACGTTATAGCGGGGTTCCACTGTATATATATATATATATATATATATATATATATATATATATATATATATATATATATATATATATATATATATATATATATATATATATCATTTAAGTATAATAACACATTTCGATTTCAAACAGCACAAATAAATAAATCTGACCATTAACAAGCAATACCTGTACCAATTTTATTGATTATTTCTTCAGAAACAAAAGATGATGTATCAACTGAGAGGGCAGGTGGAGATGCTGCAAAGGAAGGAGACCTTTGGTCAAACTGGATGGGATCAGGTGATCAGAAAACAAAGGAAGATAGCCAAAATGATAAATATCATTCATCTTGGAGTTTACCTTGGAGTTTGGCTTCTTCATCTGCCACAGCAACATCTGCCACAGCAAAATCTGCCACCGCAGCATCTGACAACAGTAAAGCCGAACCAGATGGAACTGAGACTAACACAAACATTAATGACAGTAGATCCTTAGAGGACAGAGTAACAGATTTTCACCTAGACAAATATTCAGTAAAAAATAATGACAGTCCAGCAACGACACCAGTTGTTGATAGCACATTCATGGAGGCAACAGATGTTGATGAAAGTGACAGTTTTACTTCAGATTGGCGGGATTTCCCTATGGAGGACATTGTTGCCACATCACCTGCTAGTGTTGACAAATTGCTGAATGAAGCATCAGAAAGTGGGAATATGTCAACAGATCTTGAAACTCCTTACCTGGTTGACGATTGTGAAGTTAAGGCCCCACGTAATGATTCCCACATTTATTCAGACTCTGGGCAAAATTTACCAGAGTTAAGCCAGGAGTCCTCAACGTATTTGTCTGAAAGTCATCAGGGCTCTGTGCTCTTACAAGACGACTACACTGGCCAAAGTAAAAATCTTTCTACTTCTGTAAATTATGCTGCAGATAATTTGCATACAGAAACTCATCAAAATGATACTGCCATCAATCATCCTAATGAACCAGAGAGTAATCCTCTCCCCACTTCGCCTTGTGCAATCATGGCTCTAGAAAGTGAAATGGAACCACAGAAAGCTTTGTTGGAAGTTGAAAGTGCTTCTCACGCCGCACTTGAGATTTTTGTGGAGGAAGAAAGTGTTTTTTCACAGCCATCCATTCCAGCAGAAGACAACTTAACTCCGGACACATCTAATTGTGAACATGTATCTGAACTTTTTAGTGTGCAAGAAAATAATTTTCAAAGTGTTCTTTCCTCTAGTGCTCAAAGATTGTCTCAGTCAGATTCGATGCTAGAATATGTCAATATCAGCGTCTCTGAAAATGTTTCAAATGAGGGCAGTGCTGTTAGTTATGATGACATTCTCCATGTCAGCTCAGACATGGGTAACTCTAGAGCCAGCAGTGACTTTGAATTGCCAGGAGGCCATACCAGCAGCACTGGATCATCTGAAACTGGCAGGTTTGACAGTAGTATAGAAACTGTAGTTGAACAGGATGCACACAGTCGATCTGATCCTCCCTATTCCTTGTTTGGTTGCGAACCGGGTGACAGTTGTATAAGTGAAGCGAAAGTACTGGATGAGGATCCACGATCCTTGAATTCCTCCTATGTTAAATGTATGCTTGAAGAAGCCATGGAAGATTTGAGTAAAACAGAGGATTCTGGAAGTGATAATCATTCAAATGGAGAAAAATCTGAGAGCTCCAAGGTAGATTCAGAATTGGAAAAAAGTGTTTACAGTGGGCATGAGTCCAGTGATGACTTTGAGACGACGACATCCTCAGATATTGAAATCCTCTCAGCACCGCATTCAAACGGAGACAAGTACAATGCACCCTATGACTTGTCTCCGTTAAAAATAGCCCTTCAGCGATCAGTTAGAGATCAGTGTCGTTCAGACAGTCAGTCTAGTTCCAGTGCCAACAGCAAGGGGGATCTGGACCGTTTAAGTCCAGAGAGAGGAGAAAGCACAACTTGGAGAGATGATGGTGAGAACATTGAAAAAAATATGACGGTATTCTTTTATAATAACAATTTTAATCTAAATGTTTAGATTTGTTTAAAAGGGGTGATGGAAGGAGAGTTTAAATGAAACAAAGTTATGGACATAGTTTTAAAAATGTTAATTTTGCTTTTTAACTTCAAAATTAAGCTATTACTGAAATAAAAGGAAGGATACAAAATTTCAGCCACTTGACCTTAGAATAAGAATACTATGGAGTTGTTTTTTTTAATACAATGAGGAATACTTGAAGGAATAACAATTGTATTGACAGCACTGATGTTTGTGTCTTATTGTTTATTTTAATTTTTTTTTTTTAAGACTTGCATCATGACTTGCAATCCATCAGAGAAACTAATAATCCTTACCATCCTGAAAGATTACTCAAGGTGAGTGTGATAAATTATATATTAAATGTGCTTGATTTATGTGTAATTTACTTGAGCCACCTTTTCCTGTCTGGATTCTTCCATCTTCTGTGTTCACATTCAGGAGCATGCTTATTCCCTCCCCAAAAACTCCAAATTAGGGTTGTGATATTTCTGATAGTGTTATGCATTAACACATTTGCTGTTAAAGCTAGGCTAATGCTGTTTTGGACATTTACACCAGGTGCTAACGTGTTTTATATTAAAATGTATATCTTCGCAAAAATGAGCTGTCTAAGTTATAACTAAATGGTCTTTTTCATTCCATCAGTGGTCTAATCCATTTAATGTGATCTAATTTGCTTTCTTAACAAGCCAGTAACGTAGCAGCATCTTTGTAGGAATAATGGGAACGCCTTGGAAATTTATTCCTGGCTATATGTTCACTTCAGAGGGATCGCCCATGTCAGAAATTTCAGTAATTGTTCCCATTTATATGTAAGAATAGGATTATTGAACAATTAGCTGTAGGAATTTATCAAAAATTGTAAGTTGAATTTTTTTACATGTGAAGGCAAATAATGAGTGAGTATATGATGGTAATATCCTAAGTGGTCAAAATGTCATCTTTTGTTTCCCTTTCATTGACACACAAAGGTATGTGCAAATGTTCACCCACCACACATTTTCGCAGAACTTCACAAAATACCATCAGGCTCACAAAACTAAGTTAGTCCCTTCTTCAGATTAGTTTCCTTGTTTGTGTCCTTTTAGAAAAGTTACCAAGGCTGTGAATACCTCACATAAACCTTGTTGTCATAAGGAGTAAGGTGGGGGAATGTACTCTTTAAACTCTGACTATGCAGCTCAGTAAGGGTATTTAAAGCGGCAGTTTTCATAGGAAAAATAAATGAACATTCCACTTTGATTGTTCATTCCAGGCAAATTATTCTAATAAAATGATTTTTAAAAAGAACTTAGAAACTCACACTAGATCCCTAAAATTGTGTATTTTAAACATGATTAGGGACAAAAATAATTTTTTGTCTCTGCCGTGGCCATGGTAACTAATTCTGCATCAAGCCAAAGTCCGTGCCTTTTATTAGGCATCTTACCCTTGGACTAAAAGATTCTGAACAAGATAAAGAACACTACTTTTAGTAGAATTTGTGGTTTCTCATATCAGGGTGGCTATGACATCATGCGACTGCATGTGTTAGAGGGCTTGGTGCTGTGTATTAGCAAAGGATGATGATCACTTTATTTTCACTGGCACTAACTCTATAGCAAAAGCTGTCATCACAGTTGAAATACAATTAAATAGAAATATCACAGCCACAATGACACAACAAAAAGTCACTGTGGCATGGTTCATCAAGGGTTTCAAGTGTTATCTAAAAGATAACAGTGAAATATTTACTGATTTCTCCATAAGTCTTAAAACTAAAGCTTAAAAGACTTAAAGGCTGGCAGTATGTTTATGGGGAATCATCCAGGGGAGGAGACCAGAAAAACACCAGTCTTAAAATTTATGTGAAGAAATCTATCAGTTATATCAGGGTAATTAAATGCAGTGGGCGTTGTACAGTAGAAATTCAACTGTCAGGACTATTTGTGACATGTTTATGATTAAAACCATTTGGATAATTGCTGGAACATAATTTGAAGTAAAAATGAAAGGCAGTATTTAATAAATAATCAGATTTTAGCAGTCTTATTATAGAAGCCCTGGAATAGGTTGCATCTTGCCCCACAGCATCCAGAATATTCACTATTTTGTCATCCCCTGTTCTAGAGCAGTGTTTCCCAAATCTTTGTGGTATGTTCCAGACCAGTAGTCCCCATTGTTATAATTAAGCTTTGATTGGATTCCCATGATTCTCATGATTCCCTTTGATCTGACTGAAAATGCTTTTGTGTTTCTTCCGGATGTCCACAGAATTTGCAATTGTGTTTTCATTTTAAAAAATGACAGTGCATAACCCAAGTCCTAGGTATTCCAGTTTCTACTGTAAATAAACAAGTTTTGTTATATTTTCTGAAACTATACCAGTGAGTTTTAGGGTAGACTTAAATGGATTGATCTGGGGCACTGACATCTTTCAAAATTTCATGAAACATTCTTGGCAATCTTTGGCCATCTAAATCTATATTTCAATTTTTATTTTAAAGAAAAGCTTTTATGGCATGGACTTTTATTTTTTTCCGCGCATGCTTGCTGCATAAAAAAAGAACGGTCACCATTGTCGCTTTATGAAAATGTAACATATAAAATACTTTATCACCCTTGTTTTCAGCTGGCTCAGTCTGTTGTCCGGCAGAAAGTACATGGTGGGCAGGTAAACTTGAAGGACATTTGTAGTTTTTATATGTTGCTATGCCTCATTGAAGAAATGCTAGAATTTCAACGGAAAGTATTAGTATAAATAATGAACTAAAAAAATTTCCTTGTGATAGTCTTAATTGAATAGAAATAAGAAATATTCACGGGGCAGAGGAAAACCTGAAAAAATTGGATGTTTCGGCTAAGAAAATAGCAAAATAGCTAAAATACATCGACAGACAAACTAAGCCTCTCTAGAAATTTAGCTGACCGGAAATGGTAGGCTTATTCAGTTATGGAAGAATCCCATGAAATCAAAGAATTTGCATGTGAGATTAAGAGGAAACGTAAAAAGATTCTATATAAATAAATTAATTAAATAAAATGAGATAAAAGGGAAAAGGAATATTACTATAAAACGGCAAGGACTACATGGAGGCAAGGTTAGCAAGGATGTTGGATATGAGGCAGAGATCATGGAAAGAACTCAGAGAGCAGATGGGCTTTTGCATTACCTACTGATATTTGGAACTCTAGACGAACCAGAAGAGATGAGGGTCAGTAAAGAAAGATTGGAAAAAGACTTCAAACCTTCATGAATGGTTTTGCTGAAATCTTAACATCAGGTGGTTCCACAAATACACAAAATACAGGTCATAAAGGAGAAGGGAAAGGAACTTCACTGTAATTAGTCATATGATGTAAGAGAGAGCGGAAAGAACGAGGAGAGCTAGTAAGTGAAAAAAGGACATGACATTCATACCATGTGGTGTCAGGGTCCCATATGTGTGTATCAGTTTGTTTTCCAAACTCACCCTTGCTTGCGTGTTGGTAGGCGAAGCAATAGCCGTAATTGACACATCTGTCGACTCTTTGTGGTCACTTCTATTGAAGTGAGTGAGAAGAGCCAGACAGGACTATGCTTGTCTTCAGCAATGTTACATAGGTGTTCACTGAACCTATCAGCCAGTTGTCACTCAGTCTCTCCCACATAGCAATTTAGGTATTGTTTATACTATTGTGTAAGCAACATTACGGCTGATACAATAACTTTTATTGGAAAAGAACTCTTAGGGAAGTCAATATGTTGTAGTTTGAAAAGTGTAAGGGCAGGTCTAACAATGGCTACTAACACATTGCTTAGTTTCAAAATGGAAGTTGTTGGTTAAAAGGAGGCTATGAACCAGAAGGTCAGGTAAATTCCTATCGTGTCTAAATACTATGGGAAGGGGTTATGAGAAAGTTTTGCATGCATCAGGGTCAGCTAGAAGAATATCATGATTTTTCTGAGATTATGAGAGTGATACTCATGGATAAGGTTGGTTCTGTCCTCATTGAATGGGTGGTTGTCCTTTTTCAGGTTTTCCTCTACTTCTTTATATTTCTTATTGCTTCAACCTGCACGCAATCCTCCCAGTATTTCTCTAGGTCCAATAGAGCAGCTTAAGATATGATCAATACTGAAATTTTATAAAACGTAAATATCTTGGGTGGTATGTACACACATTTGCCCAAAAATTTCATTAAACTGATTATCAAGGGTTTGAACATTGCAAACTTATGTGTCACATGCTCTTATGATTAATGGTCCCCAACTTTTATGTGGAATGTTCTACCAAATACTGCCCACCTTATGAGTGAATGTTCTATACCATTGGTCCACAACCTCTGTGTGAAATTTTCTTGACCAGTGGTCCCAGAATTGTGAAGTGTCCCTCTTTTTAAGGGTTAATCCCCCTCTTGCCCCTCAATGTGGACGCCCAGGAAAAGTTTGCCTCTTGGCCCACAGCATCGAAAATAATAATTATTTTGTCATCATCTTTTCTAGAACAGTGGTTCTAAATTACTGTGTGGTATGTCATTGGTCCTTAACTATTTGTTGACTAGGGAACCTTGGGCAGTGGCTCATCCATGAAAAGGAAAACTCTGAGTGCAAATCTCCGCTGCTTTGCTGATAAAAACCCATGGTTAAGGGAGACAACACCAACATAAAAGTCTGGAGATGGGGTCCTGTAGGCGGTTTGAAATTGATTCCCTGAAAATTCCGGCAACTCCTGCAATGCCTCTAGTGCCAAGTTGTATCATTCGTTTGATGTTCCCATTGAGTTCACCAGCTATGTGGGACGGGTTCCAGTAAAATAATAAAAGAGACTTAAGGTAATATATTGGAACATAAAAAAATGTACCCAAGACATAAGGAGACAATATATTGGAAAATAACAAAATGTACCCAAGACATAAGGAGACAATATATTGGAACATAAAATGTACCCAAGACCTAAGAAGAAAAGGCATTGGAACATATCAGAATGTACCCAAGACCTAAGGAGAAAATATTTTGGAACGTAACAAAATATACCCCAGACATAAGTACAAAGTACTAATAAATTGACTACCCTTTTCCAAACACCTTTTATGAAATTTTTGCACATAGTACCTGAGATTTATGGCCCACATATAGCACATCTTATTATGAGGCACAGCTGAGGGGTTATTTTCTTTAATTGTGTTCATTATTTAGATATTGAGTTTCTCCGGTTTTCTTTATCGTTGTTTATCATCTGCGTAAAGATGATTTCCAAATCAGCTTTTACTAATCGTTAGATCACTCCACAAGGCTTAACACAGGGCCGAGAAATCATTGAATTATTTTTTTTAAAGTGTTTGCTAAGAGATAATTGACAAAGAATTCCGGGTTTAAAAAGAATATTAAATAAAACTTTTCAGTAAATATTACCAGGTTTTATAAATAAAGAACCCGTACATTATTTGTTTTAACCAATGAAGACGTCATCAAATATCCTTGTCAAGTGGTCTCATGTTTTCTTGGCTTTTTTAACAGCTTTATCATGTATTCATTTGCTCATAAAACTTGTTGATGTGTGAAAGGCAAGTGTTTGTTTAACATGAAAGAATGAAAATTATGTGATATAAACTCCTAATATATTCAAGTAACATATTTGCTCTTAAATTGCAATATTCTAGCCGAGGCACTTGATTGTCGTTTTTTTTTTTCTTAAATATTCCAACATAAGTTTTACAACGCCAACCTAGGACTTTGATTACAGCATAAAAATATGTCTACATTTGTGTTGATGCCACCAGTTTTAAACCACCCCACACACACCGCAATCCCGTCTCTGTGGTCATTAAAAAACCCATATATTATTAATTGGATGGTAAAAATCTTACACCATTTGTCATGCTCCCCCCCCCCCCCAAAAAAAAAAAAAAAAAAAAAAAAAAAACAAGTATAATATCAGCAACAAGCTGCAGACATTTATAAGAAGGCAAAACATTTTTAAAAGGCCATTTCCATTAGTAAAATATCAGATTAACCACACTTTCAATGACTTTTTCTAGTTTCTCTTATAGCATGTCTGTCGTAGAACTACTATAAAAAAGCAATGAGGTTTAGCAATTAGAATTAAAACAGTTTTAATTTGAAAAGGTTCAGCTTTACATGAATATGAAGGGCTACCAGATTTTTTTGACCTTGTCAGCTTGTGGTAAATAATGGCAAATACTGTTTGAACCATGTCAGTTTCCAAAACCAAATTAAAGTTTAAAAACATACATTGTGGGAAATCCTATAAAAAAGGAATGCTTTAATAAAAACATTAACTGCTCTTAATTTTTCTTCCAAACCAAGTTTAATGGATTTTTAAATTTAAAAAAATTGGTGTGCCATATGTCATTCTGGTTAAGGGATCAAAAATATTTCTTCCTCCAGCCTTGGTTCATCACCTGTGGCCTTACAGTTTATTCAGTCTGTATTTTCGCATAAAGTGTCTATCAGTGTATCAGATTTTATGACATAAGCTTTGATTGTATACTTCAACAAATCAATAAAACTATTAAAGTTAAAACCAGTTAAAGGTTGAACAACTTACCAGCTCTTTCATTTTCAGCCCAGAAGATGAAATCAATACTCTACCGTCACCTTCCCAACCCCTCCCCCTTTAGACACACACACACACTTATTCCTACATATGAAGTATTTCCATTGCAATTGTAGCTAAGTTCATAGGAAAGTTGTTTTTGTTTTTTTTTTCCCAACTATAAATAAATTTTAAAAAAATTTAACCATTGTCAAGTTGGGAGTTGGGAGGCTAGACGTTAGAAAAAAAAACTACAAAGAATTAAAACGGAGAGAACAGTTTACATCACTTGACAGATTCATAGTTAAAGCCACTTCAACAGTTTATTCCCAAATATATTTTTACCTAAAATTTTGAAAGTAAAATGAAGAAAACATTTTTTTAAGGCATATTTGGATGTGAGCAGCTATTCATTACAAAATGAAGTTAATCAAGTAAAATTCACAACCAAGAGCAGCCCAGATTGTGAACTATATGATAAGATTCTTTCATTGATCCAAATAAATGCAAATGTTTTGGGATTACATTGTGTGTGTTCATTTTCAGCACATAAATAAAGACATATTTTACAATTATAAAGTTTGAAACACAAGACATCTAAAGTATTTCTCTGGCGTAGAAATCAGCAATCAGTGAACTCCTTTTGTGACAAAAATGATTTAATTAGTGATCATAGGAATTTCTTTCAGTCCTAACTTTAAGATAAAGAATTTGTCCTGATCAAGCTGATCTTAGGTATCTTTGATGGAAAGGGTGGGAGGTATCATTGAAAAAAAAATGTTTAGTTTTATAACTATCAGTATCTCTCATGATCTTTTTATAGAATGTTCATATATACCGGTACACTTTTCTCATGGCTATTATTGTAAACTAATTTTGATTTTCTACTTGATGTAAGTTCAAATGAATAATGTACTGATAAATGTTTAAGTGAATGATGTATTAATACTTAATGTAGTTAAATGATGAATTAATGTTATGTGTAATTGAATGGTGTAATTGAATTATGAATTAATACATGTGTAATCCAAAGACTTAATCATACTAAATGTAATTGAGCTTTGAAATGGAAACAAGACAGTTATGTTTAATGTTATTTTTATACAGGAACTTTTATAATGTGGATAAGATTTAAAACAACAAAAAAGAATTTAGTTTTCTTGGTCTGATTCAAAATATCGGGTAAATCTACTGTTTGCTATTGGTCCAAAAAAAAAAAGAATTAAAAAGTTACATATCTTTTTTACGCTTATAGAAATAATTTTAACATTTAATAGATGATCAATGCCTGTCAGTCTTAATCATGGGATTTTAATGTTATTTTTTTTTAGTTTAGGTGATTGTCAAAATGTTCAAGACAATGCTTCCACATTCATATTTCTAAAATAAATCCCCACTTTGCGCTGATAGACAAATCTGACTTTTGCTGGTTTATTATGTCCAATGTTTGGTTTTATTAAAGTTATTTTCAAATCCCTGTTATCATCGGTTGCCATGGGACTAAATACCGGAACTGTTGCAACAGATGGTGTGTACAGCTATTCTTTATCGTTCTAGAAACTGGCTGAGATGGCTGAGGTGCTACAGGCCAGGGAAACCAAACTCATCCAACTGAGCAAAGACAACCATCAGCTTATGGAGGACAAGAACATCTTACAAAAGTGAGAGATTCTCTGTCTTTTTGGGGCGTTTGTGGGGTGGGTTTGGACTTGAAACAATTTTTTTGAATGTAACTCATTGTTTTAGTCTGAAGAGTGACATCTGCACCTGATATTAATTTTTGTTTTAAATAAAATGTTTACCATATTTTCTTAGAGGAAAATCCTGTTTTAAAAAGGCCAAAAGTTCAGATTCATGCTGTTTGATCTTTGGAAAAACCATGTAAATAGAAAATGCTTGCGATGTTTATAAAAGTTCAAAGATTTATTTTTTTTTGGCTTGGAGTTAGCTTAGTCTCAAAGAAACTTTAAAATTTCATCAATGGCCTCTATGAAACACTATGGCAATATTTTCCATCTCCACAACAGCACCAGAGAATGAATTTCTTCAAGTTGAAGAATCTGTTCAACTGCTGGTGAAATGTGCACCAGTTTGGCGCGTGAATAACTGTTTGATCTCTGCTCAAACCTTACAAAGTATCCCTAGAAGTGTTATCATTGCTCATGAATGCTAATGATACGCTTGGCGACACACCCCGGCTGATGTACTCACACGATCGATTACTGTCAATTAATGTCAAACGCATACTCTTGTCTGCTAATTTGGTGTATCGACTGAAAGAACTATCCATTGGTCAAGGCCTGCCCCGTAAGAGTATCCATAATAGTGGTGGGCGGAAAGTTGGTGCACGACGAAAGAAGAAGCGTTTTTATCGAGCAGGTCGTCGGAAACAGCGTCCACTGAAGTACCACCATGGCGAAAGCAATGTCAACACTATCGTCTGTGTAGATCGTCATGTAAAGCTTTTAAACAAGGCTGTCAGTAACGACGGAAAACAGCCACATACTGTGTCCTCCATCACGACCATTCCCTATCTGTCAATACTAAGAGCACGGCCGGTGGCTCATGATTTCACATCGCCCGTCGTGACGAGATCAAATTTAATTGTCGTTGACCGCCAGCCTGCTGTGAAGCCGCAATCACGGCATTTCGGAGTACTATATTTTAACTCCCAGTCCTGCAGGAATAAGACGGCCGAGGTGTGTGATCTTGTCGTGGAGAGCAGGGCCGACCTTGTGTTCATTACCGAGACGTGGTTTAAACGTGTCGGAGATGAGGTGAAGCTTCAAGAAATTACACCTCCGGACTACGTCCTTCACTCTTGCCCACGGCAGTCGAGCAGTGGTGGTGGTATTGCCGTCCTTTACAGGAACTCCCTTAAAAACAGTGTGGCCTTCTCAAAATCGGACGAGTTTGTTTCATTTGAAATGTGCAAAATGCAACTTGATTATGGTGAACAAGTGATGACATTTCTCTGCATATACAGGCCACCTCCAAATAAGCAAAATAAGTTGAAGATCTGTCAGTTTACTGTGGAGTTTATACAGCTCCTTGACATGTATGCCACCAGCAACAACAATGTCATCATAATCGGCGACATAAACTGCCATTTCGACTCCACCACCGACAGCTACGTAAAGACCCTAAAATCAGCTCTTGACACACACGGAATGACTCAGCTTGTCAGTGTCCCGACGCAGAAGCGAGGTCACATCCTAGATTGGCTAGTTGTCAGAGAGGACCGGGCAGCTATGATCCAAAACCTCATTATTGAGGACAAACTTATTTCTGATCACTTCCCGGTCGCCTTCGACTTTGACTTGAGGAAGCCAGAACGCCTTCTGCGATTAGTAACATCCCGAAACCTCCGACAGATAGATCTAGCGGCCTTTAGAAGTGACGTCGCAGCCCTTGAGTGCGGTTTAGATGACCCTGCTAAAGACTACAACAGTCGCCTCAGAGTCATTTTAGACAAACATGCACCACTGTCCACACGGCGAGTTACGGACCGCCCTTCCGCCCCTTGGCTCACGCCCGAAATTAAGGAAGCGAAGCAGAAGCAGCGACGTGCAGAACGCCAATGGCGGAAGTCGGGCTTGACTGTGCACCGACAAATCTTTGTTGACCACAGGGAAGGAACCAAGAGGTTGGTCCTTGCAGCTAGGACTGAGTATGTTAGTCATCAGATTACAGACAGCGGCTCAAGCAAGGACTTATTTCGCATTGTAGGTCAGCTGACCGGTAAAAACAAGGCTACATCTCTGCCAAATAACATTGCTGTAGAAGAGCTGCCAGACGCTCTAAATGACTACTTTATTACAAAAGTTAAGAGGATCAGAGCGAAACTTGACAGTTGCATCGATACTGCTCCAGAATTCTCAATATTCAACGGCTCTTCTATGGCTGAATTTGTTGAGGTCAGTGAATCGAATGTGAGGAAAATCCTCGCTGATACCCCAAGAAAGTCATGTTCGCTTGACCCTCTTCCAGCAGGGCTCTTGTATGAATGTCTGGATGAAATAGTCCCCATCATCACTTATATTATAAATCAGTCCTTAGCTACTGGTATTGTTCCATCATCTTTTAAAGAGGCAATCGTTACTCCACTATTAAAGAAATCAAATCTTGACCCAAATGTGATGGAAAATTATCGCCCCATCTCAAATCTACCATTTATTTCTAAAATCTTAGAAAAAGTCGTTCTCCGCCAACTCCAGGATCACCTCACTCAGTTTAACTTGTTTGAACCATTCCAGTCAGCATACAGGGTGCATCACTCTACTGAGACAGCCCTGTTGCGCGTCGTAAACGACCTTCTGTCGTCTTGTGATGAGGGCAAGGTATCGATTTTGTCTTTACTCGATTTATCGGCAGCTTTCGATACGCTCGACCACGGCATATTGCTCCAGCGTCTGCAACAAACGTTCGGTCTCACTGATACCGTCCTGTGTTGGTTCCGATCGTATCTGACTAATCGGGTGCAGTCAGTTATTTCAAACGGCTTGACTTCGAAGAAATCTAATATCGAATTCGGAGTACCCCAGGGCTCGGTCCTAGGCCCGATGCTCTTCACGATGTACATTCAGCCCCTGGGCGCAGAGATCAGGCAGTTTGACATGTTGTATCACATGTACGCGGACGATACACAACTTCATCAATCCGTGATCCCTTCTCAGTTCCCTCAGCTGCTCAGTATGACACAGAAGACAATGGAGTCGGTTAAGCACTGGATGACGATAAACAAGCTCAAATTAAATGATGATAAGACTGAGCTGCTCCCCATCGCAACCGCTCAGAAGCAAAAATCTGCAAATAACACTACATCCATTACTCTCTCAGGTGTGCGTATTGAGTTAGCTCAAACAGTGCGGTACCTGGGTGTCTACCTAGATGGAAGACTAACTTTTGAAAGTCATATTAACATGCTATGCAAGGCGATTTTTCTGGAGCTGCGCAGGATTAGTCACATCAGGCCCTTCCTAACAATTGATGCAACAAAGAGGCTGATGTCTGCATTTGTGCTATCACGCATGGACTATTGCAATGCTCTCATGGTGGGTCTTTCATCTACGCTCCTGGATAAAATTCAAATAGCACAGAATAATGCGGCTCGCATTGTTCTCCGCAAACGCAAGTTTGACCATGCAAAAACCCTTCTGAGAGAGTTGCATTGGCTGCCGGTGCGTGCTCGCATAGAGTACAAAATCGCAACTTTGTGCTACCGCTGCTTACATGACCTGGCGCCGTCCTATCTGAAAGAGCTGCTGACGCCTTATGTACCCACTAGAGAGCTCCGCTCATCCGATAGTGGCAAACTCTCGACACCACGTGTTTGCCTTGAGACTTACGGAAAGCGCACTTTCGCATTTGCTGGTCCACTAATTTGGAATGCCCTTCCTGTCGATCTCAGAAACAACCAGACACTGGAGTCCTTTAAAACCGATTTAAAGACACATCTATTTCGCAAACACCTTCTGGGATGATTGTCAACATTATTTTCCAGTTAATGCATAATGGCTGTGTTGCTTATGGTTGAAATGGCTAGAAAGACTTTGCCATTGTATGCTTGTACTTAGTTTTTGTCGTGTTGCGTTTGTTTTAAATGTGGTAAACTATAGATTTGTTTGTTTTTTTTTACTTTGTACCGCGCTTCGAGCCTTTGGGGATGAAGCGTGTTTTTGAAATGAACTTTATTATTATTATTATTATTATCATGAAGTAAATATGACCCATGAGACCCATCTACCTTTGTATAGAGATTTTGAAGTCGGCGCTAAAACTAAATGCAGGAACTCATTAGATGTGTTTGAAAATTGCAATTAGACCTTAATTTTTGTATATCTTTGCAGAAACAATCAACCGTATCCAAGAAAATCCATTTAATTTTTTTAAAATTTAAATCTGACACCATTAGCATTGTTGGTTTGATTTTTTTTAAATGTACATTTTAAAAATTTGGATTTTATTATTTTGTATTCCTGTAATTATGGGCTGATTTGGGTTCCAGGGGAAAAAAAATATTTAAAGAATTGGTTCCCACAAGTGTTATTTATTTGAAAAAACACCGGTATTCACTGAAATGGCGTCTGGACACATCACTTGACTGATGCGGATGATCCACTTGTTGCTTAAGACTTATCTTGTTATGTTTCAGTCAACTCGTCCAGCTGGAAGAGGCCAGAGAAGCGGACTCGGCAGACCTCACTGCACTGACCAATGAATTCACCGCCAGACTCGGAGAAGCTGAAAAGAAATGGCAAGCTGTTCTTAAAGTAGGTGACCCACGGTCAACATGGAAACAGTATTGTCATGTTTTGCTGAATTTATAGCTGTTTGTTGACTCAAGTTGTCATGGAAACACCACTGTTATGTTTGTTTCTGTTATGCCGGTATTGACGTGAGCTGTCTAGGTTAGACATGTGTCATAAATAATGGTTTTAAATCCAGGACTGTTGATTTTCTTTTAATTTAAATCAAGACTCATCATCTGCATCAAGACAATCTTGTTTTAAATATAATCAATGAAAACCTGTTTCTTGTACCAATCTTGTTTAAAATATAATCAATCAAAACCGGTTTCTTGTAATAAATCTTGTTTTAAAAATAATTTAAAAAACCTGTTTCTTGTACCAATCTTGTTTTAAATATAATCAATGAAAACCTGTTTCTTGTACCAATCTTTTTTTTCAGGAGAAGGAAAGTTTGAAGCAAAAGCTGACTACAGCTGAGAAAGAGCTGGAGAGACGGTAAGTCGTTGGTGATGGAGTTTGACATAAACACCGTTATGATTGGTGTCGTGAGTGTAAACAAATTATAACAGCTACACCCATCGTCACGCCTCTAAGTCGAAAGCTGAAAATTAAGAATAATAGAACAGCTTTATCATCTTAAATCGATAAATATTTTAATCCCCACCATTAAGGTCATAGATTGTAGCGGTAGGATCCCTAATTTGTAGATGTGCCCCACCCTTAAGGTCAGATTGTAGTGGTAGGATCCCTAATTTGTAGATGTACCCCACCCTAAGATCATAATTCCAAATTAAGGTCATAGATTGTAGTGGTAGGGTCCCTAATTTGTAGATGTGCCCCACCCTTAAGATCATAGATTGTAGCGGTAGGATCCCTAATTTGTAGATGTGTCCCACCCTTAAGGTCATAAATTGTAGCGGTAGGATCCCTAATTTGTAGATGTGCCCCTTTCTAAGATCATAGATTGTAGCGGTAGGATCCCTAATTTGTAGATGTGCCCCACCCCCCACCCTGTTTATTCTAAGATAAATCTGAAGACTTTCAGCCGTCTACCACTGCAGTCAGTTCCAACAAGATAACATTTTTATCTGGATCAGAACCATACTGACCAACCCTTCATTAATACAGCTCCACCAAAACTATTTTCCCCAGATCTGGAGGCACTGACAGTGAAGCTCTGTTGGAAGAAAAGAAGGAGCAGGTGGCACAGCTTTTAGCGGAAGGTTGGTGTGTTCTAAATGGCATGTGTATCAATTACGAAAAGAGCAATAAGAGATGAAGTCCAGCACACTAACCAGCTCGTCTACCTTCCAAAAGAAATGGAAGGAAAAGTAGCATAAATTGAATGCAAATAAATAACACGCATCATTACGGGATAATTCATTTCATTACATTGTTTTTCCTCCCTAAAACACGTCTGGGGATTCAATGTTGGGCGCGCCATACCAAATAGGCTGCAATGCTGTAAGCAAAATGGGAAAATACCATGTTACCATGTTGGTTGAAGTGCTGTATTCAGACAATCAATGAAACTTGTTTTACTGTGTCATGTAGGAGAAAAGCTGAGCAAACAACAACTCCAGAACAGTAACATCATCAAGAAGCTCAGAGCTAAGGAAAAGGAGACTGATGCCACCATTACTTCTCAGAGGTCAGTACTCACTCCCAATGGGATAAACACATCTTTCCTTTCTATTCAGTACTCACCCCAAGTAGGATAAACACATCTTTCCTTTTAATAACTCGATCAGCATCTCATTAATCTTCAACTAATCAATTGCATTATAGTCTCATTAGCACACTCTGAGAACCAATAATGAAATAATATACACACAAAATAATTTAAGGCTATTTCATTTCAATAGTCCAAGTCTATAATATAATTTCTACATACCAGGATCCCAAGTCTATAATATAATTTCTATGTACCAGGAGCCTAAGTCTATAATATAATGTCTACATACCAGGATCCCAAGTCTATAATATAATTTCTATGTACCAGGAGCCTAAGTCTAATATAATTTCTATGTACTAGGAGCCCAAGTCTATAATATAATTTCTGTGTACCAGGATCCCTAGTCTATAAAATAATTTCTGTGTAATAGGATCCCAAGTCTATAATATAATTTCTGTGTATCAGGAGCCCAAGTCTATAATATAATTTCTATGTACCAGGAGCCCAAGTCTATAATATAATTTCTGTGTACCAGGATCCCTAGTCTATAATATAATTTCTGTGTAATAGGATCCCAAGTCTATAATATAATTTCTGTGTACCAGGATCCCTAGTCTATAATAATTTTATTGTATAAGACTGTAATGTGGTAAAACTAGTTAGTGAACATGAGTGAACAAATGTGATAAGAAATAAAACATGTTTTTTTAAAAATAATTCTAGGAAAAAACTGGATGAGGTTACCAAGGAAATGGAGCGACTCACATCAGTTTTAGATTCCAGGGAGGACCTGGAGAAAAAACAAGCAGGTGAGGATATGACTTGTCTTAAATAAGTAGTGTCGTTTTGAATACAGGTCTTGTTAGACAGGTAGATGTAGGTCAGCGTTTATGTTCACTGACAATAACTGGGGACCTCTATGACTTCTGAGATTCTCTGACTTACCAGTGCGCCAAGAAAATGGCAATGCTGATCAAGTAGCCATAATTATCATCGGTTCAATTTGCCATTATTATCATCAGTTTAAGTTGCTATAATGATTATGCACTTATTTGTACCGGTATCAAAGTAAGATTTTTGTGTGTTATTTTTTTTTTTTAAATTAGATTTACTGAAAAGTGTATTTTTGTACTTGTCTGGCAAGTCAAGTCAAGTCAACTTTGACTTGAACACATGTAGACTTAATTAATAGCTCTTTGGAAAATTACCTGATAGAATTTAATTCCTTCGTGCTACATGAGATGGGAGATGGACTCTAAGACACATCTATGTTCTCTGGTAGATATGCTTTGCTGGAGCAAGAAAATTTTAACCAATGTCTTAAGAGTACATGACTGTCAACGTCATATGAACCATTGGTTAAATAACTCATGACTGTCAACTTCATATGAATCAATGGTTTAAAAACTCATGACTGTCAACTTCATATGAACTAATGGTTAAATAATTCATGACTTTAAACTTCATATGAACTAATGGTTTAATATCTCATAAATGTAAACTTCATATGAACTAATGGTTTAATATCTCATAAATGTAAACTTCATATGAACCACCAATGGTTAATTATTATTAACTAATATTTGTTTCAGATGCAATAAATCAGCTCAATTCAGCAGTTCAAAGGCAAGAAAAGGAAATCAGTAAACTTAAGGTCAGTCGCATGGATCCTTAGCCTTAAAAATAGATCAAATGTGATGCCCTAACTTAGTCCGTTAGTGGGCTGAGATTAGATTTTGCTATAGTTAGTCAGTGGAGGTAAGTCACATGGACCTTCAGCCTTAAGAATGGATCACATGTGATGTGGGAATTTAGTTTGTAGGCTGAGATCAGATTATACTATAGTTAGTCAGTGGAGGTAAGCGACATGGACCTTCAGCCTTAAGAATTGATCACATGTGATGTGGGAACTTAGTTTGTGGGCTTTGATCAGATTATGCTATAGTTAGTCAGTGGAGGTAAGTCACATGGACCTTCAGCCTTAAGAATTGATCACATGTGATGTGGGAACTTAGTTTTTGGGCTTTGATCAGATTATGCTATAGTTAGTCAGTGGAGGTAAGTGACATGGACCTTCAGCCTTAAGAATTGATCACATGTGATGTGGGAACTTAGTTTGTGGGCTGAGATCAGATTATGCTATAGTTAGTCAGTGGAGGTAAGTCACATGGACCTTCAGCCTTAAGAATTGATCACATGTGATGTGGGAACTTAGTTTGTAGGCTGAGATTAGATTATGCTATATTTAGTCAGTGGAGGTAAGTCACATGGACTTTCAGCCTTAAGAATTGATCACATGTGATGTGGGAACTTAGTTTGTGGACTGAGATTAGATTATGCTATAGTTAGTCAGTGGAGGTAAGTCACATGGACTTTCAGCCTTAAGAATTGATCACATGTGATGTGGGAACTTAGTTTGTGGGCTGAGATCAGATTATGCTATAGTGGCTGAGCGGTCTAAACTGAGTCAGTCCCAAGCTTGTGGGCTTGAATTCAATCCCCAGCAAAGGCTAGACAAGCAAAAACACCAGCACCCTGGGCAGATGGGACTCATTAACCTTGGATAGCCACCCATCTAAGAGAAGGCAAAAAAATGAAATCAAACCTGGAGATGGAGTCATGTAGTGCAGTATGTCATCACAATGAAAATTCCGACAGCTCATGCATGGTGGAGCACTTAATAAGGTCAGGGAGACACCAGAAACACAGCTGGTCGTCATCTACTGCATCCTGGTCTATTTCCTGTCGTCTTGACTAAGTCTTGCCATTGGATGAGATAGGCCAGGGTGAGAGTGAGGCTGATGAATTGAGCAACTCTCCCTCACTTTAAACAAAATATAGCTCGACTCTAGTAGAAGCCCTGGTCACCTTTGCTTGTGAAGACGAACAATAAAAATTATAATGCTTTAGTTAGTCAGTGTAGATTGTTTATTAAAGTAGAGCATTTGTTGAATAAATTATAAGATAGATTGCAAGATTGAGATCAGAGATGCCTAAACTGTGGTCTGCTGCCATTAAGGATATGTATAAGTGGCTTATTCCAAAATCTTTTCTCCCTTCTATAAAATGTCATTATTGAAAGTCACCCCTTATCACTTATTTCATAAAGACCTTGATTCTGAGTGACACAAAAAGAAGTCTACATGTGATAGTACAAGTTCTCTTCTTCCCTACTCTTATAATCATTATTATTGATAGGATACTTCACATAATTTTGATAGATTAATCGCTCCATTTAGACTAAACTATGTCCTGAATGTTAGCTCTGTAGATATCCAAAGAACCAGATCTATAAGCATATAAATGTTTATCTCAGAAACAAACCACAATATCCGAACAATTCATCTGACACATCAAAAAGTCATTGTCAGTCAAGATTAGATGCTTTTTTGTGTTGTTTTTTTGACAGAGTGACCTTGAGGATGCCCAAGAAAAAAATCGTGGCCTCCAAGCTGCATTGGATAATTCATACAAGTAATATTTCATGTCTGTCTATTCTTTGAGATATATTGATAACAAGTAATCATTCCTGCTATACATATCTTTGCTTGGGGTGAGTCTTGTGTATGCATTTTTAATAATTTATTTTATTACAAGTAACTAATTTGGGGGGGAGGAGTAGATGTAGGAGCCTCCTGTATGTAGAGACCCTTATTGTGGCCAAGAATAACCCAAGACTGTCAGGGTTGTATCTAAAAATTAATCTGAGATAATTTTTGTTTAAACAGAGAGATTGCTGAGCTGCACAGGTCCAATGCAACCCAGGATAGCAAAGCTCAGGAGGCAGCACTCAGTGCAGAAACCCATGTGAGGGAAGAGCTGAAGGCAGCCATGGATAGGGAGCAGATCAAATTTCGACAAGAAAGAGAAGCCTTCATTATACAGGTTAGTTGAAAGAACACCGTATAGGCACCTTTGCCTTTTATTTCATGCAGAACTAACTGTAATGTCCTGTGATGAATTGTAGTACATTTGCCCTTATTTAAGACAGACTTTGTAATGTCCTATGATGAATTGTAGTACATTTACCCTTATTTAAGACAGACCTCGTAATGTCTTGTGATTAACTAAAACTATTCCATTGGCTCCTAGGCTGATGACCTGAGACTTGAAATGTCCAGATTAGAAAAGGAGCATAGTCGGCGTGAAGACCTGTTGAGGCAAGAGATTGCACATTTACAAGAAGTAAGTTTTTTTTTTTGGTAACTCAATATTTCAGTGTCCAATCTGTTGTCTATCTACTGATTGGCATTGCCTTGTAATGAAACTCAATGTCTATTTACTGTTTGTCTTTGCAGAGATCAGAAAGATAAAATTGATGCATATTTATCAGTTAGAAAACATTGTTTTGGTTGTTTGGCAGAAAAGGACATATGTATGATGTAGTAAGACAAAGCTTACAGTTAGGGGAATGAGACAAATTATTTTATTGTACCGTAGTTTTATAAGCCACCTTGATATCCAGTAAAGTGACGTACGGTTTGGGATGTTTTGAATTAATTGTCTAAAGAGAATATTCTAAACTCTAGAGACTACAGGAAGATGAAGTCAGGAGTCAAGACTTGACTCACTCTGTCACATCAGCTACAAGGCCTCTGCTCAGACAAATCGAGAATCTTCAAGCAACTTTTGGTGCTCAGTCAGCTGCCTGGGAGAGGGTGGAAAAAACGCTGACAGATAGACTAGGTATGGCTGATGCATGCCAGGTGTGATTTTAGGCTTGGTATGGCTGACACGTGTCAGGTGTGATTTTAGGCTTGGTATGGCTGACACGTGTCAGGTGTGATTTTAGGCTTGGTATGGCTGACACGTGTCAGGTGTGAAAGTTATGACTGATGCATGTCAGTTGTGATTTTTAGGCTAGGTATGGCTGATTACCTGTCAGGTGAGATTTTAGGCTACATATGGATGATTACATGTGAGGTGGGATTTTCAGCCAGGTATGGCTGATTTTATGTCAGGTGGGATAGGTAAGGAAATAGAAACACACACTAGGTGAGAACTTGACTACCAACACAAATAACGATTGTCAAACGAAAGCCTTCCTAAGTGAAAAAAAAAAAATGATGAGTTAAGAAAAAAATTTGAAGTTAAAAGAAAAAAGCTTAACCTAATGGTAAATGTCGAGTATGGCAGATGAATGTCAGATTAGGTTAGCTTGAATAAGCTAATAACTGCAAAAAATAAAGCAAATCTTTGTATGGTTTCTATATTAACCCAGCTGAATCCCAGACAGCTCTGGCTATTGCCCAGGAGAAGGAAAGGACAGCCTGTGAACAACTGATGGAGCTAACAGCAAAGCTGACATCTGTTGAGGCCTCCAATTCAAGATTAAAACAAGAAAAGTACCAACTGGCGGCTCAGTTAGACAATGACAAAGCCCAGCTGGAGGAGTTGCAAGATGCAAGAAACAAGTAACCAACATTTATTTACTTTCTGGAATGGTGGTCCTTCATTCTTCTAATTTACAGCATGACTGTACAAGAAAAGATGGAATAACAGATGTACTGAGAGATTAAGACAAAAGCTACTTCCAGAGTAGTAGAATTCCACTTTAAAGACGGCTCCGAATGCCATATATTCTGGATCCTGTAAAAGCCATACCCATATAAAAAGCCAAACCTTCTGGCCATATCTATCCATACCCCTATAAAACCCACTCCTTCTGGCCCTATAAATATAAAAACCATACCTTAAGGACATATAATTACAGCTTGAGGGAGGGTATATCAGTGCTGTATAGTAATAGATAACACACTAATAATAACACAATAATAGATTGATTTCTAAAATTCTTTTTGTTGCTATAATATGAATTGATTTCATTTTGTCTCCAGTATTGTTGCTCAATTTGAGGCAGGCAAGCAGAAAATATCCCAGGAATTGAACCAGCTGAAAATGGACAAGGTAAAGGAAACATGGAACACATACATGTTGGCAATTGTCATTTGTTTAAAAATGTTGGCAAAGAATTGAAGTTGTTTCCATTAAATTGTATTCAATTGTATTTTTTTTTTGATAATTCACTTTTCTATTTTGATTTAATGTTCACAGATTCATCTGGAATCACAGCTTACGGTAGAACACACCCGACTGGAGACAGAGAAAAAGAAGATTATTGCCCTAGAAGAACAGCTAAAATTGCTTGTAAGTGGTAAAATTGCACCAAACATATTGTCATTGTTTTGGCACGGAGATCTCAAAATATGATAATTTTTAAAAATTTAAAATTTTAAAATACCTAGTACCTCTCAATTAAGGACCCACAGAGAAGCAGATTAGCCTATTACCAATTAATGGGCCTTAATGCTTATTGTAATTAATTATTAGAAATTTATTATTATAATTCATATGATGAAATCCCTAATATTATGTAGATAAAATGTAAAACTAAATGCCTATAAAAGCATAGTCTCTTAGTAAAAAAAAAGCAAGGGTTCCATAAAAATGTTGGTTAAAACTTTCTGCCTAAAGGTGTTAAAATATATAATTAAACATCATCAGTCTTCAAGCCTGATTAGCATTGGAGAGAGGCATACATTGCAAAACCAAGACCAGTTATTTTGAGAAGTGGTCTTAAGCAAAAGATCTAGCTAAATGAAATTTGGTAAAATTATTAACCAATAAATTTACTTCATATACAATTAATTTCTTGAGATTATTATTTCACATTGTGGTAATCCATATACACGACCGGACTTAGACTTGATGAGGCCCTGCGCTATACAAAGTCCAGAGGTCCCCTACCGTTTTAAATTACATCAGCTGGTCAAAGAAAAAATTTAAATAGGTTACCGGCTGTAGCTTATTAAGCTTATACGTAAATCCGACACTGTCCATTTATGCAAATTACCAAAAACTATGTATGTTAAATTATGATGGGATTTCTGATTATCAGGTTGTTTTTTTTTCAAAATGATGATCAAGTATCATTGTTTTTATATATTTTTTTTACATTACAAAATTTTTTAAATCACAGATAATTTATTTATTTATATTTAAATTGTATTATTTAATAAATGAAATATTTTTATGTACAAGATTCAGTATAAATAAGGTATTCCAACCAATACTGGCTTGTGTATTAAAAAATACCAACTTAATATCTTTTAAACCTCAAAATCTCCAATCTATTTATAGCCCAATAATAATTTTTGTTCAAATTTTCTTTAGAGGAAATACTTGCCCATGGGAAATTATAATATTTTTTTAAAATATATTTTATTTTTCAGCAGGAAAGGTTGAGATCAGCTGAAAGCCCATCTCCAACATCATCCTTATCTCTGAGTCGCAACAACAGTATGATAGGAAGTATTCATGAACCACCCTCCATGCACTGGTCTTTCCATGTAATTTTCTTATTATATTAATGAAATAGAAGTGAATAGTAAAATCAGTGCATCATGTTTACAGATGATGTAGTATGCTATAGTGATGGGATTGAATGATACAATGAATTTAATAATGCTAGTTTTTTAAAGAATTATTGTTGCACTTTAATTTCTTCATTGAGTCAATTCAGTGAATTCATTGGCAATCAATCCAATACTCATACCATATCACAAGTCAGGATTTTAACTACTTCCCCATGACACCTGTAAAAAGGGTGACTTTATTTTTTTTTTTTTATTTTGAGCCCTTTAACTATGATTTGATAGTATATTGGCATGATAAACCTCTGCAAAGTTAAAAATATCTTACTGCCATATTTTAAAGCCACATGCTCTCTGAACTGAGGACAAAAACATATTGTATCTGAAATATAAAAAAAAATCTGCATTTCTGAGCAGACCAGTGTTAATGCCCTCATATACCAAGTATGCAATTTTAACATTTATTATCATATTTTATTTTAATAATTGGTACTGTAATATAGTCTTTGAATTCAGTCCCAAATAAATGGCAATCCTGTGTTATTAGAATTTGTATAAATTATAAAATTGTAATTTGTTTAAAAATGGTCTCATATTAGAAAATGATAATAAAATAATTAATTTTGTATTTATTTTGAACATATTTTTGGGAAATTAATTTCATTCTCTTTACCAGGAAGATAGTGACTCTGGTTCAACATTGGGAGGATCAAAGACAAGTGTCTATGACAGCTTGAGACAATCTGGTGCTGCCATTGTTGTGGAAAATTTATCATCTCAGCTAAAGCTGAAGGAAGGGGAAATAACTCAATTACAGGTAGATTAAAATTGCAAATTTTGATGGGCTAACAGACCTGTTTACTCTTACGATTTTGGCGTAAAATGTACGATTTTGAGTTATCTTTTATGGTTGTACACTAACACCTGTTAGAACTACAATTTTAAGAGATGGGTTAAAAATATAAACATTCCATTATATAAACATAAAGATTTTTTTTTAATTCATTTTTTTTTCATTTGTTAGTTTTAGCTCCTTTCTACAACCAGCAGTGAATGGATTGAGAAATACAATTGGTTGGGGGCCATCTATAAGTATATTATGTTTGCCATGAGAGGGGAAGGGGGTGGTGGTGTTGCAGGAGAGTGCGTGTGACTTGGGGGGGGGGGGGGGTGTCTAAAAATGTAAGTGTATAAAAATACCACCACCATGTTGTTTTTGTGTTTTCATAATGAAGTCGCTAGTCAAGGCAACAGTAATATCAGCGTATTCGCCCTGGTGACAATTTAAGTCAATCCTCACTGTTGTTTGCTTTGGTGCTTCATAACATAAGTTTGTGTCATAATTATTTCATTGGGCTGAACCGATGCGAATACAAAAAAGGAGAAAACTAGTTTGTTATGGTTTTTTTTTACATGAGATTGCTTGCTCAACTGTTATGTACAGAAACATTTAGATTTTGACAGATTTTTATAGGATCTGAGAGGGCCTTTGAAATCTATTTTTAGAAAGCACAAAACAGCGTAATGATTTTTAATAACTTCGTTTGGTTCCAACACTCCTTCCTTACACCCATTTACAACTTGTGGTAGTTATTAAACTATAATATGTTAACAAGAAATAAGATTGATTGATTATTAATAAGATTATGACATTCCTATTTGATAATTAATTCTTATTTCAATAATATTTATTTTGTGCTGAACTAACATTCAGTTTGAACCACATTAATGTTCACCAGTCAATTTATTTTCACAAGTGACAATGTGATAATTTTTTCTGGACGTGCACCCAAATATTAATTGATATCTATAGTCTATAGCGCACGTCTGCAAAGCTAAGTGACCAAAGATTGCAATATAAACACCAGTCATCTACTTTTGGAAGTAACCGCTCGACACGTGATAAAAGTAGTTATTCTCTATATTATATGTACTGCATGTTTATTTATTTACGGTACTATGAAGATACTGTATTGTACCATCTTGAGACGATAATGTACGATTTTAGGAGTTTGAGGGTAATCAGGTCTGAGCTGACTAATATGAGTTTAAATAATAGGAACTTATTAAGTCAATTTTTAAATAGGTACATGGCAACATGACATGGAGAGTTTTGAAAATGTTATATTGGATAGTAACCATAATGGAGAGGTTTAATTTGCTAACTAACTTGGTCGGGACAGACATTTTAATAGTCCTATTTTAAGTTTATTATTTTTCAATATGCTTTGTTAAAATTGGCAACATTTTAATTTTTTAAATTTTATACCACAAAAAGTGGGTGAGTCCAAGCTGATGTTAAAGTATTTATATCCAAAGATTTACTCTCTATTTTAACCACAATTTGTCTACAGTCAGAAATAGGCCAACTGGAACGTACCAGAGAGTCCATGGCACGAGAACTTGTGAATTTAAGTAATCAAATAGATGAACTTTCAGGCTTAAAAACTGCACATCAGGAATTGCAAGAACAGTTTAATGTAAGTTTGCTCAATAACCATAAGTGCAGCTACGTCAAATATTTTTGCAGTGTGGATTGGTGAGATTTTTTTTTATAGAAAAAAAAATTACAGTAGTAGTACACCTGTTAAAATGAGAAAAAAAACACAAGGCCAGATACTTTTATACAACCCAATGTTAAAAGATTCTTCTGAAAAGAAAGTATTTTTGTCTTAAATGTAGTAAATATTGACAGCTTAATGCTTTTAATTGACATTTGTATTAGTAATGAAAACGCATCTTAAGGGGTACTGAATAATGTGTGCAGTATGTTAAAAGTTAAGTAGAGCTATATTATTTTATAAATTTTATTGCACTTACGTAAATTTATTAAATTATTTACTTTGAGGTTTCTTTTGTAATCAACCAACTTCCCATGATGAATAAATTTCCTGAATTTTGCACACACACAAAGTTTTGTCAATTCAGAATGTTATAATTTGGGACTTTCCATACAGAATTTAAACTTAATTTTGAAGTCCTGACTTACACAAGTTAGTATTTCTAAAGTTCTAAGATTGTTTGATAAGAAACATATGAAACAACAACCCCAACCATTTGTATTGCCAGGAACTAAACAGTCGATATAGTGCCATTCTACAGATGTATGGAGAGAAGGAAGAACAGGTCCAGGAACTGAGACTGGATTTGCAAGATGTCAAAGAGATGTACAAGTCACAGGTATTTTCTTCACTTTAACAATTTTTTAATTAATTAAAAATAGTTTTATAAGCTTGTTGAATTTTTAGAAAATATATGTTTAGCTAAAAAAAAATAAGGCTGTGGGAAATGGATCTTGGATGTTGAGGCATCTTAGTTTTGGAGTAGTTAGTATTAGTATCTTGGGTAAGTTATGCATGTTAGCAGTCAGAATAGGTATAGTTTATGTAAGTTAGCTTGGGACATATACTCAGTCCAGTTTCACATTTCTTCTCATCTGCAAAAAAAATGTATGTGCCACTGAAGTTCTTTTATGCTATTAGGTTAGATGATCATTTTTTGGTACTGTTATAATGTAACAAAACACACAAAATCTTTTTTTCTGCAGATTGATGCTCTCATGGCCAAATAAAGAAAGAAAAGAACTTTAGACTTACAGTTTGGTTGTTAAAAAAAATTTACAATAATACAGCAGGTTATAAGTTATACAATTATGTAACAGTTGTATTGTATAAATTTTTAAACATGGACCTAACTTTGACCTAAACATCCATCAAGTATTAATTTCTAGTGCAAGCATAATCACATGTAGGTATTATAATACATCAGGGTTTTTTTAAGTGGTAACTAATGACTAAAATAGGCTGTATAACTGAAAAATTGCCATCAAATTATTTATTATTCCTTTAAAAAAATCTCTACTCTGGGTTCAAGTCTTGATATAATATATTCCAGTGATCAGGATACTTAAGGGTCATCCATAAATTATAGATACAATTATAGATGCAAGGGGGAGCCTGTCCAAAAATGTATAGGGACTTGGGAAGATGGCTTTTTAGAACCTTTCAATGATGATTGAGTGGGGCTTTACTTGTTGTAGTGCTTATGGCTGTTTGAATTTTTTCAATTTCAACATATTGCATTTTATGAACTACCTTGTAATTATCATTTTCTATTCCTGCTGGTAGTAAGTAACCAGTATTTAACTGTGATATTTTAATTACATTTGTGATTGGGATTGTAATATAATTGGTGGGAAATAAATCAATGATTTTATACTATTACTAATACTGTATACAAATCATTCAGTTGAGCAACAAAGATGTTGAGTTTGTTATCAACAGTAAAGATGTGGAAGTTATTAACCATAGGAATTAAATCAAATGACAAATCTTGCAATTGTAGGCAATAGGACAGGCAATGCTTGTTTAGAAAAGATTATCAAAATAATAATTGCTTTAACTTTAAGATGTCTGTAAATTTGGCTTGTTCCTGGACAGCAGACACCTTAACACTTGTGTATAGTGAAGCCTATGAAAATAGTGAAGTACCATACCTAAACTGCAACTAATTCAGGATGTTTTATATATTTTTTTTATTCTTGTAGTAATTTATTTTTTTAAATGTAGAAATTTTATTTCAAGTTATTTATATATTATTACTATTGATAATGAAGTATGTGGTTTTCATATTTGGTCGTCTTTCACTGAGTCAATCTGCATGGTTGTAATATTCAGAGGGAAATTTGGTTAGGAAATAAAATGCAAATGTTTTTTATCATGACCAAATTGTCTTATGGAACACTTTATTTGTATAACTAGAAAGATTTTTTAATTAGTTCTTAAAATATTGAGAAATCTGATGCATAAGGTATGTATGAAAAAATACAAACTACACGACATTTGCAGTTGGCTTTTTTCTCAAGCTATTCCATACCATGTCAGTCTGGCCTACATTTTCCTAAACACTAAACTTCTGTGGGATTGTTGTATGTGAAGAGAGAACTGATATGATATTGATAAAATAAAATATTGTATTGCAAAAAAATAGTATACAGAAAAAAAAAGGAAACCCTTTCATTACCATTAACCTCAATACCTTTAATGAATTGAAAACCAGCAATTAATGGAGAATATTTATTTTTTATTCCAAAACCCATTTTAAATTTTATCAGGGACCATTCATTATTTTTCATTAGGACTTAAAATAAAGTGGGTTGGACATTTGTAATTGATGATGAATATTAGTTTTTCATCTTATCAAAAGGTTCCCTTTTTTCCGGACACTCTATATACTATTATATATATATATATATATTTTATAGCTACATTTTAACAAAGCCATGACCTTTGTATTTCCAATTTTGGTGGACTTAGATATGAGAATAGTCTTATAAGTTCACTTCAATTCATACGTTCACTTCAATTCACACTGTCACTTCAATTCACACTGTCACTTATTTACAAATCAAAGAGTAAATGTTAATGTCAAGCTTCAAATTATTTACAAGAAGTTCAAGAAGTAAGCTCAACACAAAAAGCAGACACCAGCACAAATATTGATTTTTTTCCATACATTTATTACAACTATCTTGATACTCTTTTGCACATAAAGTTTGCCATAAATAAACCCAAGGAAATTACTGACACAATTACAGTTACAGGATCACTGCTTAACTCTGGACTAATGATACGAACAAAATGTTTCTCTTGTGTATACCAAAAAAAAAAAATAAGCCAAATTATTTATCTCTATGGCGGTGGCTATGTTAATTAATATATTTGTAGTTTGGATTGTAAGGCTGCTCTTCTTCAACATGAGGCCAAAAAGTTGGTCGCTCTGGATCCATCTGAGTTTCAGGGAAGTAGTATGAATACATCTCTTCAGTCATCTCTTCAAACTTGGGCAAAGTATTTATCTTGTCAATCTAAAATGCAGTGGCACAATTTGTTATACCAATACACAGTGTATCCATGGAACATTTGAAAAAAAAATCAAATCTATAATAATCTTGCAACTAGTTTGACAATGTATATATTTTGGGCTATGATCAGATGACATTAACTGGGGGTCCAAGGAAAAGGTAGGTGGAGGTAAATAACTGAAATGGGACAGCTTGTTCAATTACAAAATAAATCTTGTACTGACAAAAATGCTTAAGAAAAAAGGCTTAGATTTAGATATGAGGTTTTGTTTGCATAGAGCTAATACCAATTAGCAGTTAAATGAGGAAGCTATTTTATCTCATGACCTTTACATACTGGTAAGCTTTGTTGGTAAATGAGTTTAATAAAGATTTAATTAGTCTCAGGCAATACTCACGAATTTTTTGCTCTCAGCTATATCATTGTTGACCTCTGCAACAAAATTCTGGACTCTCTTGTCCTAAAAATGATTGAAGAACATTTTAACAGCATTTAATTTACCATTTGAATACACTGAAAAGTTAAATAGTTTTAAAGAAAATATATTAGTAGTTGAATGTATTAGCTTATAGAAAACAGGGGCGGTTGTGTACCCAGCTTCACCTGGGTTTTGTTGCCATGCAGTTTCAGTGTATCACAGATACAAAGAACTTGTCATTTGCTTAAAAATATGTAAGATCAAAAACTTCTTTTTCAATTTTTTTTTATTTACTACCCCACCACATTTGTCAGTAGAACAATGAACTTTTAAAACTAATAACAGTTACAGGATTTGTCAGCCCACTGAACAAGGCTTTTAGACAATACAGAAACAGTCAGTGGTTTTTGGCATAAATATAAAACATAAAATTACTAAAACTAAAATCAGCTGAACAATCTATTAAAAGTTGCATATCAGAACTCAGTCAAGTTTTTACAACTCAAGATAAACAATATTTCTAATTTTATTAAACTATTACATAATGCTTTTGTCCCTTATTTTCCAAATAAATCTTTAAAATCCATCCCAGTTATTATGATTAATGTTAAAATCTTACCAATTCTTTATAGTCATCTTCCACTTTCTGAAGCAAATTGTCTTTATCCTTTGGGTATGGGATACTCAGTGACTCATACTATTTGGGAAAATATAAAAATTTAAATATAAGTTATATTATACCATTTCAATGAAGAAGCATCCTCAGTTGATGAGCCATATATTTTAGTTATTTTATTTAAATATGTTTGTAACTTACAATTAAAAAATTAATGCTATTGCTACTCACAGCTTTTTGGAACCTGTCTGCCATAGTTGGATCAGGTAGTCTTGTTTTATAAGCAGCAAAGTCAATTTTAGGCAGATTCTCTGGCAACGTATAGACCCTAAAAAGAAAAAAACTGAAATTATAGAACCTTTTGCACGGGAAAAACAAAATTTTACAGTGGATTTAAGAGATGCTTTCTGCAATCAAATGTTAAAGCAAGGGTGGGCAGCCTTTTTATGCAGAGGGTTACATGGGAATTAATCTTTTTGGGGCTGGCTGCATGTTAATTTAGGATTTAGGAATCTTGAGTTATACACAAAAGAAAGTTGCAAACTTTTCAAATATTTAATGAGTCTTTTGTAGCTACAAACATTTTTTAACTACTTTACCATAATTTGGTATTCAAGTAGGTAACATGCTGAAATGCATAGTGTAGAATAAAAATTTAACTCGGTGAACTGAGACCTGTATTTGGATTTATTGATGTTCATGCTCTCAGGTTTAGGTTGAGCACAACAAAAGAAAATCATTTCATGGCAGAGGGTTGCAAATTTAGAAAATTAACATTTTTTAGTGATGCATACAAATTTGTTAATACCATGTCTTTGAATTTCTCTTTGAGAATATTTTCAGTCTGTAGGGTAAGTAGTTTAATTCCAGCTTAAGTGAGAAGAACAAACTGGTTATCAATGGCTTAAAAATCTACTGAACTGCCTTGAAAACTCATCTTTCAACGGTAATATAATATCTGAGGAAACAGTTTGCGTCGTCATTTGAGAACAACATGAGTTTCACTTGAAAAGACTAAGTTCATTCCAAAATTGTCTAAAAATGTCTGAAATTATATTCTTTTACAACCACCTCAAATTCCTGACAAAGGCATTGGTTTTAATAAAATTGAAAACATACTTTGATTTCCACACATTAGTCTTTGTTAAAGGTCTGCTAATTAAAATTATTTCGTATTATTTTAGGTGTACTCTTTTATTTCAATTTTTTTTTCTTAATATTATTCAAAACTCATTTTATTTTGGAATATTAAATAATTTAAACAACACACTTGCAAAACTTCACAAATGTTGAGCCAAGGGAGCCCCTGTTATATTCCACCTCAGAAAGTGCTAATTGCTGGGGTGTACTGAGGAATAGAGCTGGGAGAGAACTTGCTGCTAATTTTAGATGTTATATGTACAAACGCTTATGAAATCCCAGTACTTGTTGTCTTGGCAAGACCTTTCAGAGAATTAAAGATCCATTTTACTAGTTCACTTTATAGATAAGCAATGCAGATTATCCAATTTCAAACTGTAAATTAAATTTTCAATGCTTTTACAGTAAATCATTAAAAAAATTTACATCTAACAAAAACATTTATAATTATAAAGTTGCATGAAGCTATTGTGGACCCCATCAAAAATGTATCATTCTGAATGTCAACATGACAATAGTAACAGCCTTAAATAAGTGTTTAATTTTAAATTAGTTAAACTATTAAATCTTGATTTAAGTCTACATGGATAATCAAAATATCAATTCATTTCAATAACTTGAAATTAACACACAAAATTAAGATTTTATAATATTTAAAGCAATATAATCAAAAAATAAAATTCACTTTTATATTTAATAATTCATTCATCTCATAAATAAAATATTTTAATAAAGCTACAGTTACCATATAAATTAAGTACTTTAATTATTTTTGAAACCATATCTAAAAACCAAAGTCCATAGGCATAGGCCTTTTAGATTGGGGAAATAAATAAATCACTTCTAGCCTTAAAAAATATATCGGCCTTAGCTTTAAGCCTACCGGGTAATTTTTAACTAATTTAATTTTGTGTGTGCAAAAAATGTTGGTTAAAAATTGAGAAACTGGTAGCTTATCTACCAGTCTAAAGCCTTCCCAATTTATTGACCATAGCCAATGCTCTAGTTCAAGTAGTTCAATAATGCCATTGTCATCAGATTACATACAACTTAATTTTTAAAACATAAAATGGTATCTAATAAATGTCTATAATTCGGGTGCATAGTGTGTAAAACAAAACCTGCAACAGAGAATACACAAGAGAAGGTTTGCATATCTGAGATATATAATAATTAATAAAGTTGTTAGTTCATCCCAAATTATGCTTTGGCCATGTATTACAATGTAAGGAAGGAAGCATTGTGCTCTACCTGCACAACTAGACTATGTGAGGGAGGCGGTGTTACATAGGTCTTGTTGCATACATGAGATTGAGGATACAAAAATTTTCTACATTAATTCTGAATTAGGTTTAGGCCAATGTCAGAAAGGAAGCATTGAGCTCAAACAAATGCATGTTAAAGAGTAACTTAGGAGTTCTTCTAATACCACTCAACACTGGCTTAACAAAATTAATAAAATATTATTGGTTAATGGTATTTCGGCGCACATTTTTGAATTTCAGTGTAGGATTCTCTCCCCCTTTAGTTTATTCTTGGATTTTTTACTAGTGTTAAATTTTCTTTTTTTTTTTAAATATTAATACACAGATGGAATTTTTTTCAATTATAATTTCCGTGGTCTGATAATTATAAAATTTAAATTTTCCAGTGTTTTGGACAATGGGTAATGTATTGACTATTTTTATGACCACTACCGGTACTGAATTTTATTTTTGGTGGAACCTGCAATTTGCAATAGAGTGTGTTGTGTTAAATTTAAAGTGTTTTAAAAATAGTTTGTATTGGGTTTTTTTTTATTATTACACTTTTCTTTCCACAGTGTGTAACTGTAGCACACTCACAGCTTATTTTACCTGAGGGAAAGGAGCGACCACAGTCATTGACACTTCTTGCCACATTTTATATCTAGTGATGCAAATCAGTTGCTAAGTTCGTCACAAAGTTAATGTAGCAGCTGAAATAACGCCAGCTTGAGGGCGAGGGATACAATAAAGTTGCTACCTTCACCACTAAATTAATGTATTGGTTGAAATTAATTCAATTTTAACATTTTGTATAGGCAGCTAAAACAGCACATTATCTCTCTTCCACTCCCCATTTTAGCAGATGTGTCTTGACTATTTTTTTTTCACATACCCGTTATTTTGGTTGCCATGACATGTGCGAGTGCCATCATAGTCATAGCAACCAAGCTGATTAGCGGCTGTGGAAAATGAGTGGCGCCCCGCAGTAATATTTACCAATATTTTATTATCCACTGTCTACTATTCAATACTAGTAGCACTAGTGCAAAAATAAATAGATAAGCCAAGTTGCCAAGCATTAAATTAAAATTAAAATAGAGCTACTGAGGCCACTGAAGTCTACTAGACCAAGACGACTAAGACTCATTGACATCATATCATTGATCATATATGATATATGATGTATGAGTGTGGTTACTCATTCTGTACTTCATATAGTAGGAGTAGGCCGATTAGAAGTAGATTAATAAATTAAATTTAAGATTTTTTATTTACCGTATGATAAATTTTATGCACGCGTAAGTAAATGTAAGATCACATTTTAAATTCACTGTAATCACTATCCTAACTATCACTAATTTCAGTATCACAGCTCACTTGTTCAAAAAGTTGTCATGTTTTCCCTTTATTATTCTCATAGTATCTATCTGGGCTTTAGGAATAACAGTAGCAAATCGTGCCCAATCAACTGCTGATGTGGATAACCTCTTAACGGCGCCGCTAGCCATCTTTTTGACAAGATTATTTGTAGTTTAAGTTAGGACCTTCGCCCGTTCGGCAATGTCATATCACCACGAAAAAAATATTCTATACACACAAGAGTAAGTGTTTTAAAATAGATGCTATTCACACACCTGATGTGTCAGCCTAAATAGATTCATTACAGCGGCGGTTCCCAGGATGTAATTACTCAGCGAAAAATCTCAAACTCATTTTTTAAAAAAACGAATTTCAAATTTTAAAACTCAATTACAATTAATCAGGCAGAAAAACATAAAAATACACGAAGTCATGAGCTTCAAAGAACTACAGGGGAATTAAATTTAACAGTGAGGCACTAGGTCTACCATTTAAAAATGGGGGGGGGGAGAAAGAAAATAGGACATGGGGGAAGACTATTAAGAAAATAAAAATAAAGAATATTTCGTTACTTTGCGGGCCGCAAAGTGGGAGATGGCGGGTCGCATGGGGCCCACGGGCCGTATGTTGTGCAGGCCAGGTCAAGAACATCTATCTTCTGGAACGGAATAATGTTCATAATAATTTTTTTTTAAACTAAGATTTCAGTTACCCAGCAGTTGGTAAAACAGTACCAACAGTAAAGTAGCTTGGTTATTGTCACCTGGGGCGAGCAAAGTTTTTTCCGCCTCTCTCCTGTTGGCTGAAAATGTCATATTTAGGAAAATGCGCCGAAGGGGGCTGATAACCATTGACGTAAGGAACTATACCATGTCAAGAAAAGCTGCTGGAAACAGATTCATTCTGTTTGAAGGCCTATATAAAGAGGGTAGGGATTAGTGAAGGGAAAATATGATATAGGAATTAGGGAATGGGATAATCCAGATAGTGGATGGTGATAGAGCATCTGATTTAGGGAATACGTTGGCCAGGGTCAGATAATGATAATTATTGCAGTTTTTAATTGTCAGCTGCGAAAGATCTTTCAGTAAAATGAAACTATTTCTTGATTATTTAAGGGTTCGTTTGCAAATTACGTCACGCAAAAAATGACCTTTTCAGACCCCACTGTCACAAAGTGTCAAAAAATTACCCCCCCCCCCTTCCGAGTCACGTCACACCTAAAAAAATTCAAAACGTACATAAAATTTACACAATTAAACTAGATATTATTTTATTTTTTTAACATTTTCCCGTAATGGATTAAGATGTTGTATTATTAGAAAACGCAAAACACAGAAGTCATCCCCATGTCGAATGTAAAATAGCCACAACAGATTTTGCGTCATTTTTTGATTTGCGCAGAAGGTGAACGCCACTGAGTTTCACTATACCTATTGTACCTGAGGCAATTTCAACCTCAAATTAGATCTAACGCTCTTAAAATTAATTGACTAAAGATTTTTCAAAATTTGAAAATTTAAATTTTAAATATTTTTGGTGACATCACAAAATTTTGACCCTCCATTCCCCGTGTCACAAAGTGTTACAAATTCTCGACCCCCCCCCCTCACCCCTGAGCGTGCCGTATTTTGCGAACGACCCCTAAAGGCATCTATGGGACAAGTCAGACTAAATGATCTTACTCTACTCAACGTAGAAGGAGAAGAAACTGAGAAAACTGATTTTGAGCACATCATAGACAGGGGCGTCATTTCAGGGTTTTTTCAGGGGGAGGGGACCAAAACTTGGTCGGCTTGTTAAGTTGTTTATTACTGGAGGCTCCGCATTACACAACAATTTAAATAAATCCTGCAAATTGGGGGTGGGGGGGTGGGCAAATGCCCCACCATGCCCCACTGAAATGACGTCCCAGATGATAGACCAGTTCACATCAGAGTAAGAAAAGGGCACTACTAGTTTTAATCTTGTGTCAATAAAATGTCCTGATTTTTTTAAATTGAATGTGGCATACTGCCGCAGATAAAATGTAACATAAATGCAGTTACAAATTATAGTGGCACATTGCCACATCTGTACCTAACATTAAAAAGCTATAGTCCTCAGACCTGATTGTTTTATTGTGATTTTTAAACTGTAAGCCATGTCAACACACGGGTACATTAAGATTAAATTGTGTTAACCTCTCCCTATAATTAATGGTAATAAGGGGATATACCGCATTCAGGTTAGAAAACAATGAAATTAATTTAAAAAATAATGGAAAAACCTTGGGAAAAAAAGAACGCACAAAACAACAAACGTGTTGGAAAGAAGTCTTCATCAGTGAACAAACAACAGTAAATACAGAATTAAATAAAAATGACAGCTGAAATTTAATAACTGAGAGGGCAGCAAGGCATATGATAGAAAATAAGTAGTTGAGAGATTAAATAAAGGTTAAAAAGGGGAAAGATGAAACGAAAAGTAAGTCCACTGCAATTGGTCACAATTGAGAACATGACATTCATGTCATATGGTGTCAAGGTTTTATAAGTCTGAATCAGCTTATTTTCCTAATTCATCCGACTGGGTGTCTTAGTGCAGGTCACGATCACACTTTTGAAAAATCCGCAGTCCTTTTATGTTTAAATAGCATGGTACCATAAATGGTTCACACTGCCCACCGTAGTCATTCAATTGTGACACCATTAGTACCCCAGCTCCCATCTCGATTACTCTGACCCAAAGACTTTCCTGTCTTATTACCATCACACCCAGTGGCGTAGCGAGGGTGTTTGGCGCCCGGGGACAAGATTCGCGCCCGGGGACAAGATCCATTAAAGCGCCCCTTTTTCTTTTTTTTTCAACTCTCAAACCCATTATTTTCATCAATAAAATAATATCAAAGCACATTTTGGCGCCCCTAACTAGCTGGCGCCCGGGGACATCTGTCCCCCCCTGCCCCCACTACGCTACGCCTCTGATCATAACATAAAGCGAAGTAGTTAAGTCGCGGTGCTTGCCATTCTCTTTCATCTGACTTGGTCCTGTTAGTGAGAGTCTGAATTTTTACAATGACCAAATAGCTTCCAAAGAGCTAATAATTATACCCAACACCTTGCGACCCCTCCCACAAGAAACAGAAAGAGTGAAAAGACAGTATCCGATGTTATGTCACACATTTTCCCAAATGGTCGCTCTTCTCACGTGTTTAAAATAAATTATTTATTTATTTAGGCATTTTTATATAGCGCTTACTTTAAAGCTCTATTAAAAACATGTAAACTAACTAAAATAAAAATGAGACATTAGGATAGTAACTACTATACTATAGAAGAAATTACTGCCACCTGTCAAGCCATATCTCTCCTTAGCTTTTGTGACCTCCCCTTTTTCATTGTTAAAATAATAATTTCTCCTGTGCTTCTATGCTGTCTCGTCTCTAGATTCAAATCGAAACTGCAATTTGTTCACCGTATATTGCGGCGTTCTTTAAAAAAAAAAACAACCAGCCCGATGTTTGTCTATGATGCAATTATTTTGCGGTGGTCGATGCTAAACTTAAACCTTCTTCTCTGTATTTGGTGAATAAAACTAATTAGACCTTAGACATAATATGTAGGCCCTAATGATGGCACATATCATCATCCCATATGGCCATAGCAAGCAGAATTTAAAAGAAGAAATGAAATGAAAGCTCATAGTTTACATAGCTAAGTTAGCTTCACTTTTCACTTTTTAAGGTCTTCAAACGATTGAGCTTGGGTGGGTACAGTGAAATAGCCAGGTTTAGTGCCACCCGGGGATGAGCATTTTGCTGTCCCCTTTCCTAAAAAAAAAAAAAGAAAAAAAAAAAAAAAAAAAAAAAGAAAAAAAAAAAAAAAAAA